ATATTTGTAGTTATTTGTACTCAATTATATAAGTACTATATCATATGTGTAGGTATTTTACAAATTTTGGCGAATTTTTGCTTTTAACGGGAAGTGGTTCTTACTCAACTTTCGGTTTCTCAAAAGCCAAACGTTGAAAAGTTTCTCAAAAGCAAAACGTTGAAAAGTTTCTCAAAAGCCAAACGTTGAAAAGTTTCTCAAAAGCCAAACGTTGAAATGTTTCTCAAAAGCCAAACGTTGAAAAGTTTCTCAAAAGCCAAACGTTGAAAAAATTCTCAAAAGCCAAACGTTGAAAAGTGATAGTGAACTTTATTTGTGTGGATATACAGTAACTTGTACATATACGTATTACATTATAGGCATATATATATATATATATATATATATATATATATATATATCCAATTTTTAACGATTTCCCGTAGCCGGAAGTTATATTCAACTGTAATGTTGTGGATGACGAAATGTATATATAAATTTACGATTATATTATTAAATCACTTTTATTTTTTCTGACATACGATAAACGGAAGTGGCACTTCGCTCTATTTCTAGTTTTCATAATACCATTTCAGTTAGGTCGGCCAAATATTAGATACAGGTATAAGTATTCTCTTCATTCTGTCAAATTCCGGTGACCGTAAGTAATACTCTACAGCTTCTCAAGAAAATAAAACGGGAGTGATTTCCCCAAAACATTCTTGAGTATTCCTATACGGAATGGCAACTCGGGATATACACATGATTTTTAATCTCTATAATACTAAAACTCAAGTTTGTTTACATGTTTGAATATTTATTTTGTTTTTGTTTTTTTGTTTGTCTGATTGGCTAATGGAGAGAATCTGCTCTATGTGTAGAGCTGTAAAATAGTATGTAGGTAGAGAACAATTTTTGTTTTCAAACAGACTGTTAATCACAAATTTATTTAAAGACGTTAATTAATTTATTGATTTATTTATTGGTAGATTAACCACATTAATTTTAAAAGTTTAGAAAAACGACTTTACTTTGAGTGAATAGTGACGTCAAACATGATATGTTTACTTTTTAGTACAATAAATGGCGGCTCCATTACAAGATTTCGTATCTTATTCACATCTTTAACGCGTTATAAAGCTAATTTTATGTCGGCTATAACTTTAACAATACGTCCGTTTGCTGTTTATATTACGTTCTAACACTTATATCAATTTTCAACGGTCTTTTTCATTTAGTTTTCATTTAGTTTTACAATAAATTTCTCTAGCTCTACAATTTGTCCAAGAAAGTTATTTATAGATCTAGAATCTAGGTCAAACCAAAGATTAATTAGTTAAAAATACAATCCATTTTGAAATCATAATATATTTATTAGTTTCTTTATTGAACTCCTTTAGTCCTTAAATACTTTATATAAATCTTTGTGATTTATCTATCTAGATCTAGAACAGATCTAATCTAGATCTAGCAAGAGCTACGCAGAAACTAGACTTAAGCAAAGCAGTCGTAGAATATAGATAATTCTATCTAGATTTAGATATTAAATTTAGTAGTATATAGATGAGTTTCTATATACTAAACTATTTCTGACCTTTATTATTTTATATAATCCTTGTTTGTTTAGCTATGGAATTTGCTAATTTAAGATACAATTTAATTTGAAAATTACTAGACTTAGATCTAGATCTAGAGATAGGGCCTATGCGCGTAAATCAAGTTGCATAAGAAGACTCAACGTATTATTATATACCAGCGGTCGGCAACCTTTTGGGATGGAAGAGCCAAAAGTTACAATTTACCAAATATCCCAGTTTTTAAAGAGCCACTAACATTTCGAGTTTAATATTATGATATTTGATTAGGATTATATATATATATATATATATATATATATATATATATATATATATATATATATATATATATATATATATCTTTGCAGTGGCGTAGCGAGGTCGGGTGTCACCCGGTGCAGCACTTAATGGTGTCACCCCCCCCCCCCCCCCCAGAGGCGCAGCGACCCTTCCCGGGGACAAACTTTCAATTTTATATTCATGCAAGAAAACGCTTGCTCACATGAATATGTTGACCCGAAGATCGTCAAAACTCCAAATACCAAAATATTCACCTTACTGAAGCATCATGCAAGACTATTCCATGCGTCACATAATAGGGCCTCAACTCTTTTAGAGCTGTCCAGTAGTACAGTGAAACGTGCATGTTTTTACTGGACCTCCAAATAATCTTACTTGCTCTTGTGATATGTGAACTTACCGCTCCACAAATTATTGGTTTTCAAATCTAGCAATTTAATTTGAAACACACATGCATCAATTCCAAACAGCTTAAAGTTAATCTCATTTGTTTTTCTGTTGAGAGAATCTACTATGACTATGAACGTCAGAGTACTTGCATTTCTTTTGAATTGCTCATATATCTCAGTAAACTCATCCTTCATTTTGTTTATAGTATGCAGAAGTGCGTCATGGTAATAGTAGCGTTAGTTTTATTATGACTTTTTTAGATTTTTTCAGATTTTTCGAAAAAAGCAAGGCAATAGGCTGGGTTTTCCTTTCCATGCAGTTTTACATTTAGCTCGTTTAGTTTCTTTGTGATCTCCACCATGAAATTGTATGTTGCAGTTTGGGATAGACAAGTTAGTAGGAAGTCGTTTTTTTTTTAAACGATAAAAACATGTTGTCTGAGACTTGGCGGGACACTGGGCAAGTGAAGTAGAGTTGAGCAGGTCACCTGTGACGTCAGTAGATAAAAGGATAGTGTGGTCAGACCAATGCTCAGCTGAAATCGGTGTTTTTAAAAGATAAAAACGTCTTTTTGAATGTGGGGTCTGGTTATTTTGTGAAAATAAGTGACATACGTGATGTCATTTATGGATGACCCCGAAACCCACAGTTAACCTTTAGATAACCGGGTAAGTCTAGTTAATTTTTAAATATTTAAATTAAAACAAAATAGAATGTCGTTGAAAAAAGAATTGCGCACCAAATGAACAGCAAACAATTTATTAATAATTATCCCATCACCCCTGTCCCACCACCCCTGTCCCACATCTAACCACCCTGTCCCACATCTCACCACCCCTGTCCCACATCCCACCTCCCCTGTCCCACATCTCACCTCCCCTGTCCCACATCCCACCACCCCTGTCCCACCACCCCTGACCCACATCTCACCTCCCCTGTCCCACATCCCACCACCCCTGTCCCATCACCCCTGTCCCACCACCCCTGTCCCACATCTCACCACCCCTGTCCCACATCTCACCACCCCTGTACCACATCTAACCACCCATGTCCCACATCTCACCACCCCTGTCCCACATCTCACCAACCCTGTCCCACATCTCACCACCCCTGTCCCACATCCCACCTCCCCTGTCCCACATCCGACCACCCCTGTCCCACCACCCCTGACCCACATCTCACCTCCCCTGTCCCACATCCCACCACCCCTGTCCCACCACCCCTGTCCCACATCCCACCTCCCCTGTCCCACATCTCACCTCCCCTGTCCCACATCTCACCACCAAAGTCACACATCTCACCGCCCCTGTTCCACATCCCACCACCCCTGTCCCACCACCCCTGACCCACATCTCACCACCCCTGACCCACATCTCACCACCTCTGTCCCACATCCCACCACCCCTGGCCCACCATCCTTGACCCACATCTCACCACCCCTGTCCCACATCCCTACACCCCTGTCCCACATCTCACCACCCCTGTCCCACCATCCCTGTCCCACCACCCCTGTCACACATCTCACCACCCCTGTCCCACATCTCACCACCCCTGTCCCACATCTCACCACCCCTGTCCCACATCCCACCACCCCTGGCCCACCACCCTTGACCCACATCTCACCACCCCTGTCCCACATTCCACCACTCCTGTTCCACATCCCACCACCCCTGTCCCACCACCCCTGACCCACATCTCACCACCCCTGACCCACATCTCACCACCTCTGTCCCACATCCCACCACCCTTGACCCACATCTCACCACCCCTGTCCCACATCTCACCACCCCTGTCCCACATCCCTACACCCCTGTCCCACATCTCACCACCCCAATCCCACCACCCCTGTCACACATCCAACCACCCCTGTCCCACCACCCCTGACCCACATCTCACCACCCCTGACCCACATCTCACCACCCCTGTCCCACATCTCAACACCCTTGACCCACATCTCACCACCCCTGTCCCACATCCCACCACCCCTGTCCCACATCTCACCACCCCTTACCCACCACCACTGACCCACATCTCACCACTCCTGTCCCACATCTCACCACCCCTGTCTCACATCTCACCACCCCTGTCACACATCTCACCACTCCTGTACCACATCCCACCACCTCTGACCCACATCTAACCACCCCTGTGCCGTTACCCCTTTACGACATCGCATCATCATGATAACTTTTAACTTCTGCAACAAATCTAGTCAAACTTTAAATAAACGCGTACAGAAGTGATTGAAAATGTTTGTGATTATTTTAGACAGACGAAAGGTAAACAACATTTATTATGAAGGGGTTAAATCGTTGCCTCATCAGTGTTTCTTCCAGACTTTTTTCTCCGTGGAGGGGGGGGGGGGCACTAGAATATTTCGGTGGGGTGGGGGGGGGTGGGGTGCGGTCAACATTTTTCGGGGGGGGGGGGGGGCGGGCGGACACTAGTAAAATTGTATGTTTACTATATAAAATCTATCACGTTCGGGGGGGGGGGGGTGCGGAAGACTTTCTTCGGGGGTGCTGGAAGAAACTCTGTGCCCCACGTCTCAAACCTCTTCCCTATTCAATTTAAAACAAAATCAACATGTCATTGCTTTATTCAATGTCTGAAAGCTAACGTTAAAAAAAATTACGGACCTGGAATAATGTGTGGTATTCTAAGCCAACCTAATGGATGCCGTCATTAAATGTTGACAACTTTGTTGAAACTCTCTAAGCCACTTGTACACGATTTCTCTCCTGTTACGTCTCTTCCTTTACAATGACGTCAGCTATTCTTCTATACTCATATGTTTATTTACTAAGAAAATTAGCGAAATATTAGATAAAATTTAGATTCTAAATGTATTGTTTTTGAAAATTAACAAAAATTCGAGCTTTATCAGTAGGAACGCCTTCAATTTGAATTGAGATTATTTTTTGCTAGAAATAATTCTAGACTAGATCAGGCCACGATCAACAACTGCTGCTATGGCAGACGCTGGACTAACCCAACTTGTGGTCTTGTCTGTGCTGTTGTCTGCAGTTTTTCAGCCAGGATATGGTGAGCAGACGGCGTACACGGAGGATTTCCCGCCTAATTTGACAACCCCTCGCAGACCAAATCTAGAGCCGTAAGTTCCATTCGAGTGATTCGTTTAGTCAGTTTCTTTTTGATGTAGAGGTTAAATCGACTATGTTCGGTACAACATATCAAAACTTCAATGTATACCATACTAAAAATGTATAATACCTATTAAAATATTATTACATCATCGATATTGAATGGGGTTTGTTACTTATACAAATGTCAGCATGATAATAAAGACATTTTGAATGGCTGCATGAAACATGACAGCTTCCCTTGTCTTACTGACAATGTATATGATTCTATCAAACTCTAAAACTAACCATACTGACAATATATCTGATTCTATCAAACTCTAAAACTAACCATACTGACAATAAATATGATTCTATCAAACTCTAAAACTAACCATACTGACAATAAATCTGATTATATCAAACTCTGAAACTAACCATACTGACAATATATATGATTATATCAAACTCTGAAACTAGCCATACTGACAATAAATCTGATTCTATCAAACTCTGAAACTAACCATACTGACAATATATCTAATTCTATCAAACTCTGAAACTAACCATACTGACAATATATCTGATTCTATCAAACTCTGAAGCTAACCATACTGACAATAAATCTGATTCTATCAAACTCTGAAACTAACCATACTGACAATATATATAATTCTATCAAACTCTGAAACTAACCATACTGACAATATATCTAATTCTATCAAACTCTGAAACTAACCATACTGACAATATATCTGATTCTATCAAACTCTGAAACTAACCATACTGACAATAAATCTGATTCTATCAAACTCTGAAGCTAACCATACTGACAATAAATCTGATTCTATCAAACTCTGAAACTAACCATACTGACAATATATATAATTCTATCAAACTCTGAAACTAACCATACTGACAATATATATAATTCTATCAAACTCTGAAACCAGCCACACTGATGACAACCCTTGAAAAGAGGCAGATAATCAACCCTGAATCTATTAAAATAATTAGTCTAATTAAAAAATACTCTTACTGTTCAAGAATTAAATATTTAAAGATCATCAGTGAAGTCATTCTTGGTAATAGATTTAAAAATTTATAATGATAGAATTAGTTAAAAGAACTAGACATTTATAATGATAGAATTAGTTAAAAGAACTAAACATTTATCTTGATAGAATTAGTTAAAAGAGCTAAACATATATAAGGATAGAATTAGTCAATAGAGCCAAACATATTTAATTATAGAATTAGTTAATAGAGCTAAACATTTATAATGATAGAATTAGTTAAAAGAACTAAACATATATAATGATAGAATTAGTTAATAGAGCTAAACATTTATAATGATAGAATTAGTAATAGAGCTAAACATTTATAATGATAAAATTAGTTAATAGAGCTAAACATATTTAATGATAGAATTAGTTAATAGATTTAAACATTTATAATGATAGAATTAGTTAAAAGAACTAAACATATATAATGATAGAATTAGTTAATAGAGCTAAACATATTTAATGATAGAATTAGTTAAAAGAACTAAACATATATAATGATAGAATTAGTTAATAGAGCTAAACATTTATAATGATAGAATTAGTTAAAAGAACTAAACATATATAATGATAGAATTAGTTAATAAAGCTAAACATTTATAATGATAGAATTAGTTAATAAAGCTAAACATTATTGCTTAAAACAACAACATCTCCAGGTGAACTCCACAACTCGTGTTATTCCTCCATAGCACGATTCCTTACACAAACCATTCAGAAAATCGTTTGTTACTTGCTTTACCTCTCCTCATATTATAGAATTAAAATCTACAATCTTAAAATGTCGGATTATTATCATGTTACTGTATATAGCTTGTTACACCATAATAGCAAAAATCCCAAACGTAACATTAACGTTAACGAAGAAAAAAAAAATTAAAAATATATACTACACTACACATACAACATAGGCCTACTCTATATCTACTACACTACACATACAGCATACTCTATATCTACTACACATACAGCATACTCTATATCTACTACACATACAACATACTCTAAATCTACTACACTACACATACAGCATACGCTATATCTACTACACTACACATACAGCATACTCTATATCTACTACACATACAACATACTCTAAATCTACTACACTACACATACAGCATACTCCATATCTATTACAAACACAAAGCTCCTACTGCGTATAATGTTAAATATTATAAACAGAATTGCCAATAATAATAAAAGGTAACTTAAAATAAGTAAATAATTAAAATTCAACCTCAATTTGATCTTAATTTTGACATGCTTTATTTGGTTGTATATTAGCCCCACCTACTCCCACCCAGTCATTAGCCCCCAGATTAATTAACTCCTCTCTATTACCCGCTGTGTAATTACCCAATTACACAATACATATTATATCAATACGAATCCATTTCTTTATACTGAGCCATCTCCATATCCCCAACCCTTGTGTTAACCATAGCATTATGCTTATCATTAATCTTCACGCTATTTATATACTTTATTAAATCCTTACATAATTACTGATGTTGTTACCGTTATCCTCACCACTACCACCATTATCACCACCACCACTATCACCACCACCACTATCACCACCACCACTACCACCACTACCACCACTATCACCACCACCATCACCACCACCACTATCACCACTACCACTATCACCACCACCACTATCACCACTACCACCACTATCACCACCACCACTATCACCAATACCACTATCACCACCACCACTATCACCACTACCACTATCACCACCACCACTATCACCACCACCACTATCACCACCACCACTATCACCACCACCACTACCACCACTACCACCACTATATCACCACTACCACTATCACCACCACCACTATCACCACCACCACCACTATCACCACCACCACTATCACCAATACCACTATCACCACCACCACTATCACCACCACCACTATCACCACTACCACTATCACCACCACCACTATCACCACCACCACTATTACCACCACCACTATCACCACCACCACTACCACCACTACCACGACTACCACCACTATCACAACCACCATCACCACCACCACTATCACCACCACTTCCACCACCACTACCACCACCACCACCACTATCACCACCACTACCACCACCACCACCACTATCACCACCACCACAATCACCACCACTAGCACCAACACAACCACCACCACTACCACCAACACTACTAACACAACCACTAGCACCACCACTAACACCACCACTACACCATCACTACCACCACCCCCACCACCACTACCACCACCACTACTATCACCACTACCACTATCACCACCACCACTATCACCACCACCATCACCACCACAGACGCCGCCTCCACCACTATCACCACCACTTCCACCACCACTACCACCACCACCACCACTATCACCACCACTACCACCACCACCACCACTATCACCACCACCACAATCACCACCACTAGCACCAACACAACCACCACCACTACCACCAACACTACTAACACAACCACTATTACCACCACTACCACTACCACCACCACCACCACTAGCACAACCACTAACACCACCACTACACCACCACTACCACCACCCCCACCACCACTACCACCACCACTACTATCACCACTATCACTATCACCACCACCACTATCACCACTACCATCACCACCACAGACGCCGCCACCACCACTATCACCATCACTTCCACCACCACTACCACCACCACCACCACCACTACCACCACCGCCACCACTATCACCACCACCACTATCACCACCACTACCACCACCGCCACCACTATCACCACCACCACTATCACCACCACCACTATCACTGCCACCACTACCACCACCGCCACCACTATCACCACCACCACTATCACCACCACTACCACCACCGCCACCACTATCACCACCACCACTATCACCACCACCACCACCACCACTATCACCACCACTACCACCACCACCACCACTATCACCACCACCACTATCACCACCACTAGCACCAAAACAACCACCACCACTATCACCACCACCACTACCACCAACACTACTAACACAACCACTCGGAGCACCACCACCACCACCACCACCACCACCACCACCACCACCATCACTACCACCACCACTACCACCACTATTACCACCATTACCACCACCACCACCACCACTGAATCTAAGTGATAATCTAAGTGAGGTGAAGGGTAGTAAGCAAACTATTGAAACCAAACGGTAGTAGGCAAACTATAGAAAGCAAATGGTATTAGGCAAACTGTAGAAACCAAATGTAAAAATTAATTTAAAAATTCTTTAAAACAGTTAGAAATAAAATAAATTAGTGTTATATTTTTAATAATTTAAGCAGTTTGGAAACCATCGATTTCATTAATTTTTACCTTTTTAACACGTTTTTCTTAACTCAGCTTCGCGTTTGTTTGTTTGTTTGGATGTTTGTTGTTAAAATTGACATCGAAAATTAGCCCACTTCTGATTGCTCTAGAGACCTGAAATTTGGCATGCATGCTACTTTCGCCTAACAATTTCAGATGCAATCATAAAAACTAGCAATTAGTGACCGTAATTAGCTTAATTTAATTACGCCCCAAGGACCATAAAATTGAGGACATGATTTCTAAAGATACCGACAAGACTTGAGGCCTATTGACACAGTTACTTCGGCCCCAATCGATGTGAGCGCGCTGGCCGTGATCGTATAGTGGTTAGTACTTCGCGTTGTGGCCGTGTCAACCCAAGTTCGAATCCTGGTCGCTCAAGATTTTTTTAGTCCGTGTATTTATAAACACTTTTTTAAAAACCACGTTTTTCATGTGTAGCAACGGACTAAAAAGGAGAAAATAAAATACTTAAAAAAAACTTTTTAAAAAACCACGTTTTTTATGTGTAGCAACGGACTAAAAAGGAGAACGGACACGGTAACACATTGTTAACGGTGACACGGTTGGTACGCTGGGCATGCTAAAATACACATAAACACGTTTTTCCTTAACTCAGCTTCGCGTTTATTTGTTTGTTTATGGGAGATTTGATCACGTGATTCGTGAGTAGATCTCCACGCCAGCAACGTAAATTACACCCTTTCTCTGTTTAAAGCGTATCGGTCGCTCAAGATTTTTTTAGTCCGTGTATTTAAAAACACTTAGTCAAGTCATACTTAATCAAGTGATTAGATAAAGTAGAAAATAAACTATATAAAAAACTTTTTAAAAACCACGTTTTTCATGTGTAGCAACGGACTAAAAAGGAGAAAATAAAATACTTAAAAAAAAACTTTTTAAAAAACCACGTTTTTCTTGTGGACTAAAAAGTAGAAAATAACTATTTACATACATTTGATGACAAAAAACGTGGGTCGGGCAGATGGGTCGGGAAATTTGATGGTGAACGTACCCACGTTTTTTGTCATCAAATGTATGTAAATAGTTATTTTCTACTTTTTAGTCCACAAGAAAAACGTGGTTTTTTAAAAAGTTTTTTTTTAAGTATTTTATTTGTATTGAGGATAAGCTTTTAAAAATAACTGCATTACACTCATGGTTGTCTCGACTTTATGTAAAGTAATGCCAGTTTGTTAGGCTTTTGCTTGAATGAATGAATAGAAAAATATGAATGACTCAACTAATTTGTTCCTGTATTTGATTGTTAGGCTTTTGCTTGAATGAATGAATAGAAAAATATGAATGACTCAACTGATTTGTTCCTGTATTTGATTGTTATGCTTTTGCTTGAATGAATGAATAGAAAAATATGAATGACTCAACTGATTTGTTCCTGTATTTGATTGTTAGGCTTTTGCTTGAATGAATGAATAGAAAAATATGAATGATTCAACTGATTTGTTCCTGTATTTGATTGTTAGGCTTTTGCTTGAATGAATGAATAGAAAAATATGAATGACTCAACTGATTTGTTCCTGTATTTGATTGTTAGGCTTTTGCTTAAATGAATGAATAGAAAAATATGAATGATTCAACTGATTTGTTCCTGTATTTGATTGTTAGGCTTTTGCTTGAATGAATGAATAGAAAAATATGAATGACTCAACTGATTTGTTCCTGTATTTGATTGTTAGGCTTTTGCTTGAATGAATGAATAGAAAAATATGAATGACTCAACTGATTTGTTCCTGTATTTGATTGTTAGGCTTTTGCTTGAATGAATGAATAGAAAAATATGAATGACTCAACTGATTTGTTCCTGTATTTGATTGTTAGGCTTTTGCTTGAATGAATGAATAGAAAAATATGAATGACTCAACTGATTTGTTCCTGTCAGAGATGTGTCAGACATCATCCAAGCACTAGTTGAACGATTTGATTTTGGACGATCTCAAGCCAAACAGCTCAGGGCTACCAATACCAACACACATTTTCAAAGTAAGTGGACCTATATGTGGATCGAACTGTTTGATCTCCACAATTCTTTGGTCAAAGTAAATGGACCTATATGTGGATCGAACTGTTTGATCTCCACAATTCTTTGGTCAAAGTAAATGGACCTATATGTGGATCGAACTGTTTGATCTCCACAATTCTTTGGTCAAAGTAAGTGGACCTATATGTGGATCGAACTGTTTGATCTCCACAATTCTTTGGTCAAAGTAAATGGACCTATATGTGGATCGAACTGTTTGATCTCCACAATTCTTTGGTCAAAGTAAGTGGACCTATATGTGGATCGAACTGTTTGATCTCCACAATTCTTTGGTCAAAGTAAGTGGACCTATATGTGGATCGAACTGTTTGATCTCCACAATTCTTTGGTCAAAGTAAGTGGACCTATATGTGGATCAAACTGTTTGATCTCCACAATTCTTTGGTCAAAGTAAGTTGACCTATATGTGGATCGAACTGTTTGATCTCCACAATTCTTTGGTCAAAGTAAGTGGACCTATATGTGGATCGAACTGTTTGATCTCCACAATTCTTTGGTCAAAGTAAGTGGACCTATATGTGGATCGAACTGTTTGATCTCCACAATTCTTTGGTCAAAGTAAGTGGACCTATATGTGGATCGAACTGTTTGATCTCCACAATTCTTTTGTCTGGCTCAACCTATTGCTTGGTTTCCTGGTAGTTCTCCAAACTCCTACCTCACCTGTAAGCCGATAACCAGAGGCTAGCCTTTTGATTTGTTACTGCCTATTGATTTGTTACTGCCTATTGATTTGTTACTGCCTATTGATTTGTTACTGCCTATTGATTTGTTACTGCCTATTGATTTGTTGCTGCCTATTGATTTGTTACTGCCTATTGATTCGTACTGCCTATTGATTTGTTACTGCCTTTTGATTTGTTACTGCCTATTGATTTGTTACTGCCTATTGATTTGTTACTGCCTATTGATTTGTTACTGCCTATTGATTTGTTACTGCCTATTGATTTGTTGCTGCCTATTGATTTGTTACTGCCTATTGATTCGTACTGCCTATTGATTTGTTACTGCCTTTTGATTTGTTACTGCCTATTGATTTGTTACTGCCTATTGATTTGTTACTGCCTATTGATTTGTTACTGCCTATTGATTTGTTACTGCCTATTGATTTGTTACTGCCTATTGATTTGTTACTGCCTATTGATTTGTTACTGCCTATTGATTTGTTACTGCCTATTGATTTGTTACTGCCTATTGATTTGTTACTGCCTATTGATTTGTTACTGCCTATTGATTTGTTACTGCCTATTGATTTGTTACTGCCTATTGATTTGTTACTGCCTATTGATTTGTTACTGCCTATTGATTTGTTACTGCCTATTGATTTGTTACTGCCTATTGATTTGTTACTGCCTATTGATTTGTTACTGCCTATTGATTTGTTGCTGCCTATTGATTTGTTGCTGCCTATTGATTTGTTACTGCCTATTGATTTGTTACTGCCTATTGATTTGTTACTGCCTATTGATTTGTTACTGCCTATTGATTTGTTACTGCCTATTGATTTGTTACTGCCTATTGATTTGTTACTGCCTATTGATTTGTTACTGTCTATTGATTTGTTACTGTCGTTCTTCGTCCTTCTTATTTTTTTGGTACAATACATGTCATTAGATGTAACATACTATTTTCTATTGTGAGATAGGTATTAAAGTTTCGGTCAGTGTGTTGAGCTATTTATAGTTACTGTCAGTGTGTTGAGCTATTTATAGTTACTGTCAGTTTGTTGAGCTATTTATAGTTACTGTCAGTTTGTTGAGCTATTTATAGTTACTGTCAGTGTGTTAAACTATTTATAGATGATGGTGATAAACATGAAAAGTCACGTGATGTTGGGCAACAACAGGATGGGCTAGCACTTGGAGGGCCAACACTTGGAGGGCCAACACTTGGTGGGCCAACACTTGGTGGGCCAACACTTGGTGGGCCAGCACTTGGTGGGCAAAATAAAGCACATACTTTGCCGGGATTCGAAAAGTTGAAGATGTCCAACGCTCAACAGGTACATCTTCACGTTAATAAGTTATATGGGTCATTACAAGCTAAAAATTAATCCGTTACATGGGTCATTACATCTTACACGTTAATCAGTTACTTGGGTCATTACATGTTGAAGGTTATTCAGTTACATGGGTCATTAAATGCTAAAGGTTAATCAGTTTCATTAGTCATTTCATCCTATCCTATAGTGTTAAAATTGACTTCTTTTGTACGATTTAAAGTTGAAATTGATTAAATCGAGTATGATTTAAAGCTGAAGTTGATTTAATCGAGTATGATATAAAGTTGAAATTGATTTAATCGAGTATGATTTAAAGCTGAAATTGATTTAATCGAGAATGATTTAAAGTTGAAATTGATTTAATCGAGTATGATTTAAAGTTGAAATTGATTTAATCGAGTATGATTTAAAGTTGAAATTGATTTAATCGAGTATGATTTAAAGTTGAAATTGATTTAATCGAGTATGATTTAAAGTTGAAATTGATTTAATCGAGTATGATTTAAAGTTGAAATTGATTTAATCGAGTATGATTTAAAGTTGAAATTGATTTAATCGAGTATGATTTAAAGTTGAAATTGATTTAATCGAGTATGATTTAAAGTTGAAATTGATTTAATCGAGTATGATTTAAAGTTGAAATTGATTTAATCGAGTATGATTTAAACTTGAATCGGTAGAGTGTGATTGATTTTTCTAGCCCCTAACCCTAACGGTACTAATTTTAAAAGCTTCGTCCAAACTCAGGGTTTGAGAAAGTTTAGGAAATCAATTGAACGTACCGACTCCAGAGAGCGTGGGACACGAATGTCGGCACCAGATGGCTCTACGTCATCTCACGAGCACACAGGAAACTCGCCGTCTGCTTACCCGCATCTCAAGCTCAACACGCAGGCTCCAGCAGGACGTGACGTTAGTGGGTCCCAGCAGGCTCCAGGACGTGACGTTAGTGGGTCCCAGCAGGCTCCAGGACGTGACGTTAGTGGGTCCCAGCAGGCTCCAGGACGTGACGTTAGTGGGTCCCAGCAGGCTCCAGGACGTGACGTTAGTGGGTCCCAGCAGGCTCCAGGACGTGACGTTAGTGGGTCCCAGCAGGCACCAGGACGTGACGTTAGTGGGTCCCAGCAGGCTCCAGTAGGGCTTGACGAAAGTAGGCCCGAGATTGTATCTGGAAAAGTTGCCACGGCAGACAGTACTCCGACAGACAGGAGAGAAAAAATTAAGAAGTTTAGAAACATTCTAGAATTACTGCAGGAACAAAATGTGGAGGCGCAGGAACAAGTCCCACTTGGGGAGGATATCATTTTAAACTCAATTGCTAAAATAAGCGAAGGCGTGTTTGCTCGCATGTTTCAAGTTGAACCAAGAAATTGGGCTCAAGTCGGTGTATTAGAAGATGGAAATAGTTTAAACATGGACCAACTCGATGTTTTACTTAGTAAAGACGGGGACAGGGCATATGAGCAGTCTGCACCAGATATACAGGGAGCTGCCCTTATTCTTTCCGATGTGTCGCTTGTAGACAATAAGAAAAAGCAAGTGGATGATAAGGCGCATCATCCTTCAGGTGTAGAATTAATCCGCCGTCCAAGAGAGGCACGTGACACAGTGACCAGCACGGATAGTGCCCACCCCAACAAACACTCCAGAAAACAAGAGAAGAAGAGCAAAGTCGAGAGTTTGAAAATAGCCAGGCTGGGTTACATTATATTCGACAAAGATGGATCGGTCAAGGAGGCAAAGGAAGCCACACTGACCAATGCTGCAGCGCTCGACTCTAAGGGTCACGTGGGAGACAAGCGATCGACGGTGAGAGCTACCAGCACCACGACCAAAAGCACATCAGCAAGTGCAGACAGTAACCACGTGACTGATCGCACGAAAGACAAGGCGAAATTTGCGGACGTACTGGAAGTCTACAGCATGAAAGGGACGCTGATGGGGGGCGAACTGAACGCCAATACAAATGTGGAGTTGAGCCCATTGGTTGATTCTCAAGGTTGGTGAATGGCAATAAGTGTTAAGATGCCACAATAGGTCACCACATGTCACCATAGGTTACCATATCTCACCATAGGTCACCATAAATGTCACCATATTACACCATAAGTCACCATATGTCATCACAGTCACCACATGTCGCCATAGGTCATCACAAGTCACCATATGTCACCATATGTCATCACAGGTTACCATAAATGCCACGATATTACACTATAAGGCACCATAGGTCACCACATGTCACCATAGATCACCATAAGTTACCATAGGTCACCATATGTCACCATAAGTCACCATATATCACCATAGGTCACCAGATTTCACCATAGATCACCATAGGTCACCACATGTCACCATAGATCACCATAGGTCACCATAGGTCACCACAGGTCACCATAGATCACCATATGTCACCAGATGTCACCATAGATCATCATAGGTCACCATAAATGTCACCATATTACACCATAGGGCATCATAGGTCACCACATGTCACCACATGTCGCTCGCTTCTTAATGTACGTTACTTCATATACCAATGTGTCACCAAATGCCTATAATATCCTTACATACCCTCATACGATATTACATGCCGGTAAATATCAGCAACCTATTTAAATAATTGGGCAACCTATTTAAATAATTGGGCAACCTATTTAAATAATTGGGCAACCTATTTAAATAATTGGGCAACCTATTTAAATAATTGGGCAACCTATTTAAAAAATTGGGCAACCTATTTAAATAATTGGGCAACCTATTTAAATAATTGGGCAACCTATTTAAATAATTGGGCAACCTATTAAAATAATTGGGCAACCTATTTAAATCATTGGGCAACCTATTTAAATAATTGGGCAACCTATTTAAATAATTGGGCAACCTATTTAAATAATTGGGCAACCTATTTAAATAATTGGGCAACCTATTTAAATAATTGGGCAACCTATTTAAATAATTGGGCAACCTATTTAAATAATTGGGCAACCTATTTAAATAATTGGGCAACCTATTTAAATAATTGGGCAACCTATTAAAATAATTGGGCAACCTATTTAAATAATTGGGCAACCTATTTAAATAATTGGGCAACCTATTTAAATAATTCGGCAACCTATTTAAATAATTGGGCAACCTATTGAAATAGTTGGGCAACCTATTTAAATAATTGGGCAACCTATTTAAATAGTTGGGCAACCTATTTAAATAGTTGGGCAACCTATTTAAATAATTGGGCAACCTATTTAAATAATTGGGCAACCTTTTTAAATAATTGGGAAACCTATTTAAATAATTGGGCAACCTATTTAAATAATTGGGCAACCTATTTAAATAATTGGGCAACCTATTTAAATAATTGGGCAACCTATTTAAATAATTGGGCAACCTATTTAAATAATTGGGCAACCTGTTTAAATAATTAGGCAACCTATTTGAAACCTGTTGAGAACCTCTACTGTTGCAGTTCGTGCTGTGCGCGAGGCTCACCGACGTCATCAGTTGTCGTCCATCTCGTCACTCCACGTCCTTGTCATCATGGGCCTTTGTGTACTCACCTTCGTCACCGTCATCTACTTCTCTGCTCGATTTAGGTACACGTTTCTTCATGTGTTTAGTGTTACTCGTGTGTTTAGTGTCACTCGTGTGTTTAGTGTCACTCGTGTGTTTAGTGTCACCCATGTGTTTAGTGTCACTCGTGTGTTTAGTGTCACTCGTGTGTTTAGTGTCACTCGTGTGTTTAGTGTCACCCATGTGTTTAGTGTCACTCGTGTGTTTAGTGTCACACATGTGTTTAGTGTCACTCATGTGTTTAATGTCACTAGTGTGTTTAGTGTCACTCGTGTGTTTAGTGTCACACATGTGTTTAGTGTCACTCATGTGTTTAGTGTCACTCGTGTGTTTAGTGTCACTCGTGTGTTTAGTGTTACTCGTATGTTTAGTGTCACCCATGTGTTTAGTGTCACTCGTGTGTTTAGTGTCACTCGTGTGTTTAGTGTCACTCATGTGTTTAGTGTCACTCATGTGTTTAGTGTCACTCATGTGTTTAGTGTCACTCATGTGTTTAGTGTCACTCATGTGTTTAGTGTCACTCGTGTGTTTAGTGTCACTCGTGTGTTTAGTGTCACTCGTGTGTTTAGTGTCACACACGTGTTTATTGTCACTAGTGTGTTTAGTATCACTCAAGTGTTTAGTGTCACTAGTGTGTTTATGGTCACTCGTGTGTTTAGTGTCACACATGTGTTTAGTGTCACACATGTGTTTAGTGTCACTCATGTGTTTAGTGTCACTAGTGTGTTTATGGTCACTCGTGTGTTTAGTGTCACTCGTGTGTTTAGTGTCACTCGTGTGTTTAGTGTCACTCACGTGTTTAGTGTCACTCGTGTGTTTAGTGTCACTCATGTGTTTAGTGTCACTCGTGTGTTTAGTGTCACTCGTGTGTTTAGTGTCACTCGTGTGTTTATTGTCACTAGTGTGTTTAGTGTCACTCGTGTGTTTAGTGTCACTCGTGTGTTTAGTGTCACTCGTGTGTTTAGTGTCACTCAAGTGTTTAGTGTCACTCGCTTGTTTATTGTCACTCGTGTGTTTATTGTCACTCGTGTGTTTAGTGTCACTCGTGTGTTTAGTGTCACTCATGTGTTTAGTGTCACTCACGTGTTTAGTGTCACTCGTGTGTTTAGTGTCACTCATGTGTTTAGTGTCACTCGTGTGTTTAGTGTCACTCGTGTGTTTAGTGTCACTCGTGTGTTTATGGTCACTCGTGTGTTTAGTGTCACTCGTGTGTTTAGTGTCACTCGTGTGTTTAGTGTCACTCACGTGTTTAGTGTCACTCGTGTGTTTAGTGTCACTCGTGTGTTTAGTGTCACACATGTGTTTAGTGTCACTCATGTGTTTAGTGTCACTCGCATGTTTAGTGTCACTCGTGTGTTTATTGTCACTAGTGTGTTTAGTGTCACTCGTGTGTTTAGTGTCACTCGTGTGTTTAGTGTCACTCGTGTGTTTAGTGTCACTCGTGTGTTTAGTGTCACTCGTGTGTTTAGTGTCACTCGTGTGTTTAGTGTCACTCGTGTGTTTAGTGTCACTCGTGTGTTTAGTGTCACTCGTGTGTTTATTGTCACTAGTGTGTTTATTGTCACTAGTGTGTTTAGTGTCACTAGTGTGTTTATTGTCACTCGTGTGTTTATTGTCACTAGTGTGTTTAGTGTCACTAGTGTGTTTATTGTCACTAGTGTGTTTAGTGTCACTCGTGTGTTTAGTGTCACTCGTGTGTTTAGTGTCACTCGTGTGTTTATTGTCACTAGTGTGTTTAGTGTCACTAGTCTGTTTATTGTCACTAGTGTGTTTAGTGTCACTCGTGTGTTTATTGTCACTCGTGTGTTTATTGTCACTAGTGTGTTTAGTGTCACTCAAGTGTTTAGTGTCACTAGTGTGTTTATGGTCACTCGTGTGTTTAGTGTCACTCGTGTGTTTAGTGTCACTCGTGTGTTTAGTGTCACTCGTGTGTTTAGTGTCACTCGTGTGTTTAGTGTCACTCGTGTGTTTAGTGTCACTCACGTGTTTATTGTCACTCACGTGTTTAGTGTCACTCGTATGTTTAATGTCACTCGTGTGTTTAGTGTCACTCGTATGTTTAGTGTCAGACGCTCTGTTACAGATCTGAGAAAGAAAACTCGAAACGAGTGAATTCCCAGACGGCTCTGTTTGAGCACCATCAGAGATACGATAAGTACTGAAGCAGTGAAGGGCACCCCTGTTGGAGCTGAGGGAACCGAGATTAACCCGAACCCTCGACCTTTTAGGCTCAATAAAATTTGCTTTACATTCAATTGATCCATTATCAAACCATTTTTACTTTAGTTCTTTTTAAATATTAATTTCATCAGAATGTTCGATTTAAATCCCCATCTTAATTATCAATTTTAAATTCTATTTGAGCTAACTTTTGTACAGTTCTTACAATGAAATAAACAAAATCTTCTATTGTTCGTGTTGGCTCGACATTTTGTTCTACATGCGCTTGCGTATCAAAAGACACCCTGGTTAATGTATGTAATCTATATCATATTAAAAGCTATTGCGTGCCAAATTATTATCTTTGGTGTGCTCGTGTATGTGGTGTGCTAATATGAGTTGTGGTTATGTGCGGTGCGGTAATGTGTGATGTGGTAATGTGTTGTGTTGTGCTGTGGAGTATGGTAATGTGTGGTGTGGTAATGTGTGGTGTGGTAATGTGTGGTGTGGTATGTAAGGTAATGTATGGTGGGGTGCGGCGCTGTGTAGATTGTTGTAGATTGTAATGTCAGTTGTAGTTATGTTGATGTGTGGTGTGGTGTGTTTATTTGCAGTGTGGTAATGTGTGGTGTGGTAATATGAGGTGTGGTGTGGTGATGTGTGGTGCGGTGCTTTGTAGATTGGTAATGTGTGGGGTGGTGATGTGTGGTGTGGTGATCTGTAGTCTGGTGATGTGTAGTGTGGTGATGTGGTGTGTGGTGATGTGTTGTGGTGCGGTGCGGTATTCTGTGGTGTGGTGATGTGTGGTATGCTGATGTGTGGTATGGTGATGTGTGTTGTGGTGATGTGTGGTGTGGTGATGCGAGTGCGGTGTGCTGATGTGTTTAATGGTAATGTGTGTTGTGGTAATGTATTGTGTGGTGATGTGTGGTGTGGTGCGGTGATGTGTGGTGTGGTGCGGTGATGTGTGGTGTGGTGATGTGTGGTGTGGTAATGAGCGGTGCTGTGTAGATTGGTAATGTCAGTTTTAGTTTTGGTGATATGCGGTGTGGTTATAAGCACTGTGGTAATGTGTGGTGTGGTGATGTGTGGTGTGGTGATATGTGGTGTGGTGATGTGTAGTGTGGTGATGTTTTGTGTGGTGATGTGTGGTGCAGTGATGTGTGGTGTGTTTATGTGTGGTGTGTTTATGTGTGGTGTGGTGAAGTGTGGTGTAGTGATGTGTGGTGTGGTGCGGTAATGTTTGGTGTCATGATGTGTGGTGTGGAGATGTGTGGTGCGGAGCTTTGTAGATTGGTAATGTCAGTTGTAGTTATGTACACTGTGGTAACGTGTGGTGCGGTAATGTGTGGTGGGGTGCGGTGATGTGTGGTAATGTGTGGTGGGGTGATGTTTGGTGGGGTAATGTGGGGTGCGGTGATGTGTGGTAATGTGTGGTGGGGTGCGGTGATGTGTGGTGGGGTGCGGTGATGTGTGGTGGGGTGATGTTTGGTGGGGTAATGTGTGGTGGGGTGATGTGATGTGTGGTGCGTTGTGGCTATGTGCATTGTGGTGATGTGTGGTAATGTGTGGTGTAGTAATGTGTGTTGTGGCTATGTGCATTGTGGTGATGTGTGGTGGGGTGCGGTGATGTGTGGTGGGGTGCGGTGATGTGTGGTAATGTGTGGTGGGGTGATGTGATGTGTGGTGCGGTGTGGCTATGTGCATTGTGGTGATGTGTGGTAATGTGTGGTGTTGTAATGTGTGTTGTGGTGATGTATGGTGTGGTGATGTGTGGTGTGGCTATGTGTGGTGTGGTTATGTGTGGTGTGGTGTGGTGATGTGTGGTGTGCTGATGTGTGGTGTGCTGATGTGTGGTATGGTGATATGTGGTATGGTTATGTGTGGTGTGGTGTGGTGATGTGATGTTTGGTGTGGTGCGGTGCGTTATTCTGTGATGTGGTGATGTGTGGTGTGCTGATGTGTGGTGTGGTGAAGTGTGGTGTGGTGATGTGTGGTCTGGTGATGTGTGGTCTGGTAATGTGTGGTGTGGTGATGTGTGGTATGTTTATGTGTGGTACGGTGATGTATGGTGTGGTGATGTGTGGTATGGTGATGTGTGGTGTGGTGATGTGTGGTATGGTGATGTGTGGTGTGGTGATGTGATGTTTGGTGCGGTGCATTATTCTGTGATGTGGTGATGTCTGGTGTGCTAATGTGTGGTGTCGTGATGTTTTGTGCGGTAATGTGTGGTGATGTGTGGTGCGGTGCGGTAATGTGTGGTGTCATGATGTGTGGTGTGGTGATGTGTGGTGCCGTGCTTTTTAGATTGGTAATGTCAGTTGTAGTTATGTGCACTGTGGTAACGTGTGGTGCGGTAATGTGTGGTGGGGTGATGTGTGGTGGGGTAATGTGTGGTGGGGTGATGTTGGTTGGGTGCGGTGTGGCTATGTGCATTGTGGTTATGTGTGGTGTGGTATTGTGTGGTGTGGTGATGTGTGGTGTGGTAATGTGCAGTGCGGTGATGTGTGGTGTGGTGATGTGTGGTGTGGTAATGTGTGGTGTGGTGATATGTGGTGTAGTTATGTGTGGTGTGGTGTTGTGATGTGTTGTTTGGTGATGTGTGGTGTGGTTATGTGTGGTGTGGTGTGGTGATGTGATGTGTGGTTTGATATTTTATGGCGTGTAGCTATGTGATGTTGAAAATCAGTTGTATGATCATTGTGTGAATTAACAATTATCATACAATATCTTTTTAAAAATATTACCAGTATAAAAGACTTTTAAAGTAGATCTGAAAGCGAAACTATTAATATTCTGTCAGTGGATTGTTTATCATTTTATATCCTAGCTACCTGATTTGGCAGATTGTGAGGACCTTGATGTCCTAGCTACCTGATTTGGCAGATTGTGAGGACCTTGATGTCCTAGCTACCTGATTCGGCAGATTGTGAGGACCTTGATGTCCTTGCTACCTGATTTGGCAGATTGTGAGGACCTTGACGTCCTAGCTACCTGATTCGGCAGATTGTGAGGACCTTGATGTCCTTGCTACCTGATTTGGCAGATTGTGAGGACCTTGATGTCCTAGCTACCTGATTTGGAAGATTGTGAGGACCTTGATTTCCTAGCTACCTGATTTGGCAGATTGTGAGGACCTTCATGCCCCAATTACCTGACCCCTCAGTTGGCAAAGCCTCTAACACATTTTCCATTTGTAAAACAGCAAACGTCAATCTAAAGTTATTTTAGTTACAAGCTTTTATTTAACTCACTTCCTGTGTCGTCAGGCTAGATCGAAACGCAGTTCTACTTGACCGATACGATTCACAGTAGGCACGTGGGTCAAGACATGAAGACCATGCAATCTGAAACTAAATTTGACTTAATTGGATGCCTAATTAATTTTTTATGAATTAATTAAAATTTGGACCGAATTAGTAGGCATGTCTATCCAACCACACCACACGCGTCATTACGTTCAATATCTGCGCCATCACGTTCAATAGACGCGCAATGGTTTTTTTTTTTTTAATACTTTTATTTGCAATTAAAACAAGTACATCAACATCAATTTTTTTAACATAATTTTGAACACCAAATGAAAACGACAGGTTTTGCAAATGTACATAATGAATATTTACATGATGTCATGTATTTGATTATAAAAATTGCAAAGGATGACAGTAAAAGGGGTGAAGGTCAAATGAAAGTGTCAGAAGTCTGGGTGGGGAGAGGAAAGGAAATTTTTCAAAGAGGGTCAATGGGACAGTGAAGCATTTTCTATGTAGTGAAACAACTTAAGTTGACTAGTTGAAAGGGTGTTGTAGTGGTCGCATTGAGGTTTCAAAAGGTTGCAGTGTGAAAGATGAGGGGAAAGAGACAAGATTTAGAACTTTAAATAAGTTCTGGATATTGATGTTGCGGTGGGTGGTGGGGTCGTTGGAACAGTTAAAGGGATTGTGGGGTTATCATGTCTGGGGGTAAAGTGGATAGAGTGGGAGAGAGGAGGGGGTAGATTTTTTTATTTTTATTTTTATTAATTCAATTGTTTTAAACATGGGTTTTTAGTCATGTAACACTATCTAATATATAAAGCTCAGTTCTGTATGTAATGCATTTGTATGTCGTTGGAATTGTACGAATTTAAGTGTTAGAAAATTATCGTGCGCATTTGTCTAAATTTATGAGCTAAAAAATTACTATTGAAAGTGTTGGGAAATAATTTTCATTTTTCAAATTATAGTAATAATTGTCGGCATGTTCATTAAACACAAGTTTTAAAAAAATATCATCTTTTACAAAAATTCTAATTATGTCTTTATTTAGTCCTAGAGCACTTACTTCCCTTTGATAAATTAGGAAAAACACAATTACTTCCCTTTATAAAACCATTGCATTCCGTGAAAATAATTTACTTTTTAATTACTTTGTTTTGGTGTTGGGAAAAAAAATAATTACATAATTAGCGGGGATTGATCAAGTGCAAATGTTGTAGGTATTTTACGGATAAGCTTGGAGTATTAAAATTGTTTATTAAATTGAAACAGGCGCGTTCGTTTAAGTGAGTGCAAAAGACTGTGAATAAGTTGGGGTACTATAGTCGTTCATTAAGCTAAAACAGGCGATTCCGCCCCGGGCGTTTATGTTCGCGTTAGTGTTTTCTTTGTGTTTAGGTGGGTTTGCGTTAGTGGTTGCGTTTTAATTTGGTTCGTTTTTGTTCTTTCTTTTTTCGTTTTTGTTTGTGTTTTTTTTTGTTTGGGTTTGTATTTGTGTTTTTGGTTGGTTTTGCGTTTGGATTTGGTTTGTTTTCGTTTGCTTTTTTCGTTGATTTTTTTTTGTTGGTATTGGTGTTTGTGGTTGGGTTTGTTGTTAGGTTTTTGTTTTCGTTTGCTTTTTTGTTTGTTTTTTCTTTGTGTTTGTATTGCTGTTTGTGGGTGTGGTTGTGTTTGTTGTTAAGTTTTTGTTTTCGTTTGTATTTGTAATTGTGTTAGCGTTATGTTTGCGTTTTGTTGTTTTGGTTTTGGTTGGTTGTGGTTTGGGTGGGCAATGCCGGGTTTATGATGATTACTAAACACACAGGTAATGGTCTTTAACAGAAAGGTTTTTCACAGAAGCCAGAGCAGGGCCTGGCCGGGACGGCTAGTTGTAAATAAAATTTATAAAGTACTGAAAAAAAAAACGTTTTAACAACAAGCTTTTATGTACTAATACACTAAAAAGTAGAAAATAAATTATACACTACTATTTAAATTACTATAAAGAAAAGCGTGGGTCACTTTAGTACTTTAGTACCTATTGGATACCTTTACTAATATTTGAGAAGAGACCCACGCTTTTCTTTATAGTAATCTAAATCTAATATATAAAGCTCAATTCTGTATGTAAAATTAAGTTTGTTTGTTTGTCGTTGACATACTTCCATGGATTTAAGTGTTAGACTATTATCGTACTCTTAGTCTAAATTTGTGAGTTAAAAAATTTACTATTGAAAGTGTTGGGAAATAATTTTCATTTATCAAACTGATAGTAATAATTGTCGGCATGTTCATTAAACATAATTTTAAAAAAAATAACAAAAATTCTAATTATGTCTGAAAATTATTTATATTTAGTCCTTTAGCGCTTACTTCCCTTTGATAAATTAGGAAAACACAATTACTTCCCTTTATAAAACATTGCATTAGTGGAAAAGAATTTACTTTTTATTACTTTATTTTGGTGTTGGGAAAAAAATAATAACATAATTAGCGGGGATTGATCAAGTGAAAATGTTGTAGGTATTTTACGAATAAGCTTGGAGTATTATAATTGTTCATTTGGTTTGGTTTGGCACCTACGTTCGTTAAAGTGAGTGCAAAAGACTATGAATAAGTTGGGGTACTGTAGTCGATTATTAAGCTGAAACATGCGATTGTGCTCAGGGCTAGACTGTGAGCACTTTGCGTTTATGTTCGCGTTAGTGTTTTCTTTGTGTTTAGGTTGGGTTTGCGTTAGTCGTTGCGTTTTGATTTGGTTCGTTTTTGTTCTTTCTTTTTTCGTTTTCGTTTGTATTTTTTTCTTTGGGTTTGTGTTTGTATTTGTGTTTGTGGTTGGTTTTGCGTTTGGATTTGGTTTGTTTTCGTTTGCTTTTTCGTTTGTGTTTTTTTTCTTTGGGTTTGTGCTTGTGGTTGGTTTTGCGTTTGGATTTGGTTTGTTTTTGTTTGCTTTTTCGTTTTTTTTTTCTTTGTGTTTGTATTGGTGTTTGTGATTGTGGTTGGGTTTGTTGTTAGGTTTTTTTGTCGTTTTCTTTTTTGTTTGTTTTTTCTTTGTGTTTGTGTTGGTGTTTGTGATTGTGGTTGGGTTTGTTGTTAGGTTTTTGTTTTCGTTTGTATTTGTAATTGTGTTAGCGTTATGTTTGCGTTTTGTTGTTTTGGTTGGTTGTGGTTTGGGTGGGCAATGCCGGGTTTATGATGATTACTAAACACACAGGTAACGGTCTTTAACAGAAAGGTTTTTCACAGAAGCCAGAGCAGGGCCTGGCCGGGACGGCTAGTAGTAGTGTATAATTTATTTTCTACTTGTTATTAAAACGGTTTTTTTATGAATTTTTCATTTTATTTTACTTTTCGATTTTGTTCTAGTGGTGATTTTAACACATTTTTGGCACAACGGGTTTGGTTTTATCTCATTTAAGTAATCAGCACTATTCGTCATAATTAGTAAGCTTTATAGATTCATGTAATCAGCACTATTCATCATAATTAGTAAGCCTTATAGATTCAAGTAATAAGAACTATTCGTCATAATGAGTAAGCCTTATAGATTCAAGTAATCAGGACTATTCACTATTTTTAAATTAATCTATTAGAATCATGTCCGAAATTTTAAATGTCCGCATTTAAAATTGAATACCACGAATACAGCAACACGGGTTGTGTTCTAATCATTACATCTCTAGTGACAAACAGAAATGTATTTAATTCAAAACAACTGTATTAATAGTGTGCTAATCGGTTATACTCTATTGACAAACAGAAATGTATTTAATTCAAAACAACTGTATTAATAGTGTGCTAATCGGTTATACTCTATTGAAAAACAGAAATGTATTTAATTCAAAACAACTGTATTAATAGTGTGCTAATAGTGTGATAAACACAAATGAAACTCAATGTATTTAAGTCAAGGCGACTATTTTATTCTTTACATTTTATACTTTATAATCATTTTGAAAATTTCATTGATAAATAAAATAATTCTGGAATCTCTGTTTTATCGTGTGAAAGTTTTCATTTTGCGATTGATATGCCTACTTGGCTGGAGTGACAGAAATTAATTAATAAATGAAATTTTTCTTCTTGCTTTCCAGGACTAAATCTGGATTCTTAGCGACATCATTTTCAAGGGAAGGTATAGGTATGACGCACTGTAGCTTTGAGTTGCCGTTCCTGCAGTTAAAAAAGAATAATTTCATAACAAAGTTTATACTTTTTAAAGGATTTTTTTTTTCTAAATTAAAAAAAAAGTTTTAATAACAAGCTTTTATGCACTAAAAAGTAGAAAATAAATACATTTCTTAAAATATTAAAAAATACAGTACTATTTATATAACTATAAAGAAACGCGTGGGTCATTATATTATTTATTGGATACTATTACTACTTAAAGTTATATAAATAGTATTGTATTATTATATATTTTAAGAAATTTGTTTATTTTCTACTTTAGAGTGCATTATTAAATAAAAGCTTTTTATTAAAACGTTTTTTGTGAAATATTTTTTTCAGTAGTTTACATTTTTAAAATTTACAGTAGAATTGCATGATTGCGCACCTAATGAACGTGATAACGTATAATGGTGCGGAATATGTGGGTAAGACTGCCTACTAATTTGGTCAAAATTTAAAATAATTAATAAAAAAAAATAATTAGGCAACCATTAAGTCAAATTTAATGTCATGTTCCATTGTCTTCATATCGTGACCCACTTACCAACTATGGACCGACTCTGTTAGAAGTGCCCGTAATTTCTTTCGGGCGTTTCGATCTAGACAGACAGACTAACGATAGACAGACAGAGGAAGTAAGTAAAATAAAAGTTTGTAAAAAAGTATGGAGGCAGTATTGTAGCCTTGACGTATATCAAAATGGCGTCTGTCTGTTTATTTTTTTGGGTTGGAAACAATTTCGTATATACAATCTATCAATCAATCAATCTATCTATCTATAAATCTATTATTAAAACGCAAGTTTGTTTACATGTCTGTATGCTTATTTTTTTTTTTTTTTTGCTTTTTACTGTTTTTTTTTTGTTTGTCTGTTTGGTTACAGGAGAGAATCTGCACTATTTGTAGAGCAGGAAAATACGTATTTAGGTAGAGAACAAAGTACTTTTTGACCAAATTGTAAATAAAAAATTAATAGACGTTAATTAATTTATTGATATATTCATTGGTAGATAAACCACTTTAATTATAAAAGTTCAGAACAATGACTTTACTTATAGTGACGTCACATGATTTATTTACTTTTTATAACAATAATGGCGGCTTCCATCGAAGCTTTTTTGCCCATTTAATCGTTAAATGCGTTATAAAGCTAATTTTATGTCGGCTGTAGCTTTCACGTTACGTTCGTTTGCTATTTTTATTAGGTTCGAACACTATTATCAATTTTCAACAATTCTGCTAATGTGAGTAGGCCTATACAATAAATTTCTCAAGATTTACAGATAAGCAATAGGACTCAGGGCCCATGGCGAAGGGAACGTTAATCCTAGATCTAAAATCGGGAATCTAGGTCAAACCAAAATTAATTAGTAAAAAATAAAATCAATTATAAAAACACAATAAAGTATTGAGTTTCTTTAACTATGTAAGTCCTTAAATATTTAATTTGATATAAATCTTTGCTTTTTAGCTTCAATGATCATCTAATTTGACAATACATGGGATTTACCTACCTAGGTTTCATATGTAGAATCTAGAACTACGGAAAAACTTGAGACTTTAAGCTAGCAGTAGATTTTACATCATTATCTAGATCTGGTTCTATCACGACATTGTAATTTTTACTTTCTCGTATATACGAAGTATAGAGAAAGTCTTGTAATCGTGCAAAAAGAAAATCGAGATTTTTACAAATTTCGACGTTTTACACCTCACTGATACGGAAAAACATAATTTTGCAATCTTGTCCGTGTGTATGTGTGTGTGTGTGTGTCTGTTTGTCTGTCTGTCTGTGTGTGTGTAAACACGATAACTTGAGTACCGTTATTTCTGATAACCGGAAAAGGTACTTTTTCTACTTTGAATTTTTCAAAAGCCTATAACTTGAGTACTATTTCAGATAGATAAATGAAATTTCACATGTTAGTAAAAGATCTAATTCTCTACCTTCTTTCAAATTTTGAGTAATTTCCGTTGACCAGAAGTACTAATTTACGCTATTTCCGATTTCTCAAAAAAAGCATGTAAATTTATAAAGTACTAATAATATTGCGCACTGTTATGCACATTTTGTTTTGGCGTTCGCTTGGTGCGCAATTCTTTTTTTTCTACGAGATTCTATTCTATTTTTAAAAGTAATTAAAAATAATGTCTATATTCCGAGTTAAATAAGGATATTCGAGAAAGTTTAGAGGAGATCACTCCCGGTTTATTTTTTTTTCATTTTTTATATGTGAAGGATAAAGTTGCCTATCGGGTTTTGGCGGGACACAGAGCAGGTGAAGTAGAGTTGTCGAAACACGAGTAACTTTATCACAAACTTTCCTACCATATCATTGGCTGACTCCACTACATGGGCCATACCATTGGCTGACTCCACTACATGGGCCATACCATTGGCTGACTCCACTACATGGGCCATACCATTGGCTGACTCCACTACATGGGCCATATCATTGGCTGACTCCACTACATGTGCCATATCATTGGCTGACTCCACTACAAGGCCATCCCAAAGTTTACAGTACCAGGTTGTATGGAGCTCACTCTTGCTATAATATTTCCAAAAATCCTTATAATCTCACAGGTCGGCTATAATAGTTACTGGGTATTTTGGGGGGAAAAAGCGTGTATGATTTCAGGTGACCTCTCCATTGTATGTTTAAATATGTATAAACTCTTAATCTCACCTGTCAACAGTAACACCTTTGGTGGGGTCACGTGGGTCAATGTGTTTGATATACATTGCATCCCGTGAACCCATTGACGGACACTCATCGAAATAGTTGTAGGGCAGCAAGAAGAAGGTCAAGTGATTGCCTACAGTTGGGGTCACAGGCAGGTCTTCAGTGTGGGGGATGTGATGCATGCCCCCAGTCAGCCAGAATACCAGGTCCTGGTTGGGAGACGTTAGCAACGGTTGGAACAATTTCAATCTACATTTTAAACTTGTTTGTAAAGATTGTAACAAATTCAATCTACATTAATAATCTGTTTGCAAAGATTGTAACAAGCAATTTCAATCAACATTAATAATCTGTTTGCAAAGATTGTAACAAGCAATTCCAATCAACATTAATAATCTGTTTGCAAAGATTGTAACAAGCAATTTCAATCAACATTAATAATCTGTTTGCAAAGATTGTAACAAGCAATTTCAATCAACATTAATAATCTGTTTGCAAAGATTGTAACAAGCAATTTCAATCAACATTAATAATCTGTTTGCAAAGATTGTAACAATTTCAATCAACATTAATAATCTGTTTGCAAAGATTGTAACAATTTCAATCAACATTAATAATCTGTTTGCAAAGATTGTAACAAGCAATTTCAATCAACATTAATAATCTGTTTGCAAAGATTGTAACAAGCAATTTCAATCAACATTAATAATCTGTTTGCAAAGATTGTAACAAGCAATTTCAATCAACATTAATAATCTGTTTGCAAAGATTGTAACAATTTCAATCATCATTAATAATCTGTTTGCAAAGATTGTAACAAAACAATTTCAATCAACATTAATAATCTGTTTGCAAAGATTGTAACAATTTCAATCAACATTAATAATCTGTTTGCAAAGATTGTAACAATTTCAATCATCATTAATAATCTGTTTGCAAAGATTGTAACAAAACAATTTCAATCAACATTAATAATCTGTTTGCAAAGATTGTAACAATTTCAATCAACATTAATAATCTGTTTGCAAAGATTGTAACAATTTCAATCAACATTAATAATCTGTTTGCAAAGGTTGTAACAATTTCAATCAACATTAATAATCTGTTTGCAAAGATTGTAACAATTTCAATCAACATTAATAATCTGTTTGCAAAGATTGTAACAAGCAATTTCAATCAACATTAATAATCTGTTTGCAAAGATTGTAACAAGCAATTTCAATCAACATTAATAATCTGTTTGCAAAGATTGTAACAATTTCAATCATCATTAATAATCTGTTTGCAAAGATTGTAACAAAACAATTTCAATCAACATTAATAATCTGTTTGCAAAGATTGTAACAAAACAATTTCAATCAACATTAATAATCTGTTTGCAAAGATTCTAACAAAACAATTTCAATTAACATTAATAATCTGTTTGCAAAGATTGTAACAAAACAATTTCAATCAACATTAATAATCTGTTTGCAAAGATTGTAACAAAACAATTTCAATCAACATTAATAATCTGTTTGCAAAGATTGTAACAATTTCAATCAACATTAATAATCTGTTTGCAAAGATTGTAACAAGCAATTTCAATCAACATTAATAATCTGTTTGCAAAGATTGTAACAATTTCAATCAACATTAATAATCTGTTTGCAAAGATTGTAACAAGCAATTTCAATCAACATTAATAATCTGTTTGCAAAGATTGTAACAAAATAAAATAAAAGGTCCTTACCTGGTCAACAATGTCTTCGTCGTCATCATAAAACTTGGTGAAGTTGACTACAGGGTCAAGGCCGTCAAACATGCCGTAGTTGGAGCTGGACCAGATCTCGTCGTCCTTGTGTCTGGTGACCACCATCTGGTGCCGTGCCCAGGGGATGGTGCCCTCATTGCCCCGGTCACGTGGCAGCAGGTTGTGAGAGATGCCGTTTAGCTGAATTCTGTTGGTCAACGTTAAATAGTTTACCAGTGGACATTGTCAATGTTACAAACTTAAACAGTGGACCAGTGGCGGAACTAGAAAAAAAGGGCCACCCCGAAAAAAAAATGTTTGTGGCCCCATATATATATATATATATATATATATATATATATATATATATATATATATATATATATATATATATATATATATATATATATATGAACCAAAGTGGTCGGATGCCCGATAGGGCACTTTCCGGCGCCGCAGGCGCTTCAAATTTGGCAGGATCCTGCCTTGGGACAATGGAACAAAAGGGCCGGTGCCGGTTGGCTGAAAAGTCCAGGAAGAGGGGGTCAAAACTGACCTCAACTGATCGGCGCCTTATATGAGTTATACTACGAAAAAAACTTTTGCCCAACCACCCCCCTTGATATTTTATGAGGTGGTAGAGGAACGCCTAGGGGTGTCATAAAAACTCGGCATTTCTGGAAAAACATCGTAAAGGGGTCAGAACTGACCAGTAGTATTTCCCTATTTAATCTTTATATTTTATGGGAAAAACAGAGGGTAATTTCATTTCAGATTTTAAGGCACATACGGTCAGCACATCTGGCTATTTTTTTTTGCTAACATCTAGATAAATGGCTCCGCCGTTTGGGAGAACTGTCGGTTTTACTCATAGCCCTCGACAAGGGCTAAAACATGACCGCGAGTGAAATTCTCTTTATATGAGCTCTTTTACGAAAAAAAATTCCTCCGACGAGCCCCCTTGAAATTTTGTGAGGTGGTAGAAGAACGCCTAGGGGTGTCACAAAAAACTCGGCATATCGGGGAAAACTTCGTAAAGGGGTCAAAACTGAGAAACATTGGCATGGTGGTCATTCGTGGTGACAGTTTTGTACTGTTAGAGTCTCAAGAAAGAGTCTGATCAGTCCATCTATTTCACCACTGACTTCATTTGTATAAAGGTTCATTATCATCTCAACATGTGTGGTTCAAATGTTTCATCCTTCATGCTGTATTGTTTATATATCTAACATAAAACAGCTTCTTCTGTTTGATCATGTATGAGAGGTTTCTTTTGTAAATTTTTGTTGTCATCAATTTTGTTTTTAAAAATAAATAAAATATCTGTTAAAAAAAACAAAAAAAAACTAAGCATTCCACATAATAGCCAATCAGCAATTAATCAAATATTGGAATTCTCAATTTCTTTATTTTAAAACCTAAGCAAAGCTAGGCAGTATGCCTAGTATATATATATATATATATATATATATATATATATATATATATATATATATATATATATATATATATATATATATATATATATATGGTCCTATTATATATATATATATATATATATATATATATATGGTCCTATTATATATATATATATATATATATATATATATATATATATATATATATATATATATATATATATATATATATATATACAAAATACGAACATAGAATACTCAAAACGGTCTTGTTCGAAATTTGAAAAATTAAAATTCTTAGTTTTTATTTTTAATTGAAACATGTTACAACAACTCATCACTTGTGTAAGTGCTATTAGTCTGCTTTGAATTTTTGTTTCCATGTTTTGCATATTGCTTTCTAAATAACAAGTCGGTCAAAAAATATGAAGCATGAAAGCTTTTAAGGTGTTATGGTTTCTCGCCTAATGTTTATTTCTATGTTTTTTTCGTATTTATATTATTAGTTTTTAATACATTTCCTTTTTATACTATGTCATTCTTTATTATGTATTTTTTTAAATTAATAATTAAGAGAAGTAATTGCTTTTTAATTTGTTCATTGCAAATCGTTTAAAAGGTTCTTAAGAACACACATATTTGACTATTTGAAAAGAGGAAATAAGTCATAGAAGTGGTTTGAACGTCTGCCTTTCACACTACAACGAATGTAGCCTGTATATATTTTTTCCTTTTACGAAACAGCGTGTGTTAGCTACTGTAGAACAATCACTACTGAAGTAGATCAGTTTGTTTTTTTACAAGAAATTTTTGTTTTAACTATAAAAAAATGATTATGGTCGGCTGTGGGCCCCTAAACGGCCTGGGCCCCCCACATTGCGGGGTCTGGCGGCACTGTAGTCCGCCCCTGCAGTGGACATGATAAAATATTCCACTAACTAGACCAGACTAAATGTCTCCTTTCATATCCTAGAAAGTAATGTCTAGTTTCAGTCGTCTATCAAGTTTAGGTCAGTTCTATGACCTAACGGTACTGAGTATGTTGATTAGATTCCCCTACCTGTAACTTACGGATATGTTGATTAGATTCACCTACCTGTAACTTAATGTTGATTAGATTCCCCTACCTGTAACTTACGGATATGTTGATTAGATTCCCCTACCTGTAACTTACGGATATGTTGATTAGATTCCCCTACCTGTAACTTACAGATATGTTGATTAGATTCCCCTACCTGTAATTTAATGTTGATTAGATCCCCTACCTGTAACTTAATGTTGATTAGATTCCCCTACCTGTAACTTAATGTTGATTAGATTCACCTACCTGTAATTTAATGTTGATTAGATTCCCCTACCTGTAACTTAATGTTGATTAGATTCCCCTACCTGTAACTTACGGATATGTTGATTAGATTCCCCTACCTGTAACTTAATGTTGATTAGATTCCCCTACCTGTAACTTACGGATGTGTTGATTAGATTCCTCTACCTGTAACTTAATGTTGATTAGATTCAGCTACCTGTAACTTACGGATATGTTGATTAGATTCCCCTACCTGTAACTTACGGATATGTTGATTAGATTCCCCTACCTGTAACTTACAGATATGTTGATTAGATTCCCCTACCTGTAATTTAATGTTGATTAGATCCCCTACCTGTAACTTAATGTTGATTAGATTCCCCTACCTGTAACTTAATGTTGATTAGATTCACCTACCTGTAATTTAATGTTGATTAGATTCCCCTACCTGTAACTTAATGTTGATTAGATTCCCCTACCTGTAACTTACGGATATGTTGATTAGATTCCCCTACCTGTAACTTAATGTTGATTAGATTCCCCTACCTGTAACTTACGGATGTGTTGATTAGATTCCTCTACCTGTAACTTAATGTTGATTAGATTCAGCTACCTGTAACTTACGGATATGTTAATTAGATTCCCCTACCTGTAACTTACGAATATGTTGATTAGATTCACCTACCTGTAACTTACGGATATGTTGATTAGATTCCCCTACCTGTAACTTACGGATATGTTAATTAGATTCCGCTACCTGTAACTTACGGATATGTTGATTAGATTCCCTTACCCGTAACTTACGAATATGTTGATTAGATTCCCCTACCTGTAACTTAATGTTGATTAGATTCCCCTACCTGTAACTTAATGTTGATTAGATTCCCCTACCTGTAACTTAATGTTGATTAGATTCCCCTACCTGTAACTTACGGATATGTTGATTAGATTCACCTACCTGTAACTTACGGATATGTTGATTAGATTCCCCTACCCGTAACTTACGAATATGTTGATTAGATTCACCTACCTGTAACTTAATGTTGATTAGATTCCCCTACCTGTAACTTACGGATATGTTGATTAGATTCCCCTACCTGTAACTTAATGTTGATTAGATTCCCCTACCTGTAACTTACGGCTTTGTTGATTAGATTCCCCTACCTGTAACTTAATGTTGATTAGATTCCCCTACCTGTAACTTACGGATATGTTGATTAGATTCCTCTACCTGTAACTTAATGTTGATTAGATTCAGCTACCTGTAACTTACGGATATGTTGATTAGATTCCCCTACCTGTAACTTAATGTTGATTAGATTCCCCTACCTGTAACTTACGGATATGTTAATTAGATTCCCTTAAATGTAACTTACGGATATGTTGATTAGATTCCCCTACCTGTAACTTACGGATATGTTGATTAGATTCCCCTACCTGTAACTTACGGATATGTTGATTAGATTCCCCTACCTGTAACTTACGGATATGTTGATTAGATTCCCCTACCTGTAACTTACGGATATGTTAATTAGATTCCCTTAAATGTAACTTACGGATATGTTGATTAGATTCCCCTACCTGTAACTTACGGATATGTTGATTAGATTCCCCTACCTGTAACTTACGGATATGTTGATTAGATTCCCCTACCTGTAACTTACGGATATGTTGATTAGATTCACCTACCTGTAACTTACGGATATGTTGATTAGATTCCCCTACCTGTAACTTAATGTTGATTAGATTCCCCTACCTGTAACTTACGGATATGTTGATTAGATTCCCCTACCTGTAACTTACGGATATGTTGAATAGATTCCCCTACCTGTAACTTAATGTTGTTTAGATTCCCCTACCTGTAACTTAATGTTGATTAGACTCCCCTACCTGTAACTTAATGTTGATTAGATTCCCCTACCTGTAACTTAATGTTGATTAGATTCACCTACCTGTAACTTACGGATATGTTGATTAGATTCACCTACCTGTAACTTACGGATATGTTGATTAGATTCCCCTACCTGTAATTTAATGTTGATTAGATTCCCCTACCTGTAACCCTTGAGCTCATTAAATTTGGATTTCTTGGCCTCGTTGTGTACGACAAGATACTTTGGCGTGTGAAAGTTGTAGTCGTAGACAGCTTCTCGCTCCGTTTTCTTCAGGTTTCTCGTGTACTTTGTTTGCTGGTACATCATGCCTGGGTTCTTTTCTCAGATCAATCAAGTTTAAAGTTAGCTTTTTACTCACACTTGCATTCTATGTGTGCATCATGTTTTCATACATTCGATGGGAATATAAATGTACTAGTATTACGTGTTTAAATGCTGCATAACCCTAAGTGCACTAGCCTAAAGCCAAACTAACCTAAACTTAACAAATCTAAACCTAACCGTGCCGTCCATCAGATGGTATTAACCTAAACTAAATTTAAACCTAATCCTAACCTAAACTAAATTTAAACCAAACCCTAACCTCAACCAAATTTAAACCTAATCCTAACCTCCACTAAATTTAAACCTAATCCTAACGTCAACTAAATTTATACTTAACCCTAACCTCAACTAAATTTAAACCTAATCCTAACTTCAACTAAATATAAACCTAAACCTAACCTCAACCCTTACCTCTCTGATTGAAACTACTTCGTTGACGATGTCCAGAGTCTCATAACGGTTAGACGTACCACCCACATCCAGGTCAGCTTTAAAGTGGGCCATGTGGTGGTGGACACTTCCGGTCAGTGATTTCTCAAGTTTAAAGCCATAGGACTTCTCAAGGTCAGAGTAAAAGCTGGACTGGATGTAACCTGGACAAACATGGACTGGATGTAAACTGGATATTTATTGACTGGATGTAACATTTGCAGATATATACATGGATTGGATGTAGCATTTGCAGACATAAACATGGATTGTATGTAACATTGGGTGACAAAAGTATGGACTGAACGTAACATTGGGAAATAGAATCATGGATTGGTAGTAATATAGGGTAATAAAAACATGGACTTGATGTAACATTAGGTCATTGAACTATGGATTGGATGTAGAGTTTTGGGATAGAAGCACATACTGGATTTAGCATTTGGACATATAAACACGGACTTGTTGTAACAATCAGACTAATTATACATATCTCATCTGAGCTCATTAACTAGACTAATTAAATATATCTCATCTGGACTCATTAACTAGACTAATTAGACATATCTCATCTGAGCTCATTAACTAGACTAATTAGACATATATCATCTGGGCTCATTAACTAGACTAATTAGACATATCTCATATGTGCTCATTAACTAGACTAATTAGACATATATCATCTGTGCTCATTAACTAGACTAATTAGACATATATCATCTGAGCTCATTAACTAGACTAATTAGACACAACTCACATGTGCCCATTAACTAGACTAATTAGACATATCTCATCTGAGCTCATTAACTAGACTAATTAGATATATCTCATCTGAACTCATTAACTAGACTAATTAGACATATATCATCTGAGCTCATTAACTAGACTAATTAGACATATCTCATCTATGCTCATTAACTAGACTAATTAGACACAACTCACCTGTGCTCATTAATCTCGCCTCGACAACGCCATTTTGATGGAAGATGAAGTCGATGATGTAATCATAGTTGCCTATTGTCAACGCGGATCTGTAGGCGAAAATTCAGAGCAATTGTCATTCATTTGTTTCAATCATTTGTTTGATTCATTTGTTTCATTCTTTTGTTTCATTCATTTCATTCATGTGTTTTATTCATTTGTTTCATTCATTTGTTCATTCTTTTGTTTTATTCATTTGTTTCATTCATTTGTTTCATTCATTTGTTTCATTTATTTGTTTCATTCATTTGTTTCATTCATTTGTTTCATTTATTTGTTTCATTCATTTTTTTCATTCGTTTTATTCATTTGTTTCATTCATTTCATTCATGTGTTTCATTCATTTGTTTCATTCATTTGTTTCATTCATTTGTTTCATTCATTTGTTTCATTCTTTTGTTTCATTCATTTGTTTCATTTTAACTTGTTTCATTCATCAGAACAAACCTTAATGTGAGTACAGAATCCAACATGCCGCCATAGAACAAACCTTAGTGTGAGTACAGAATCCAACATGCCGCCATAGAACGAACCAGCTTCCTTCTCATAGGACGAGTGTCTCCTAATCGGGTAACCGTTGTTGATCTCGAACAAACAGAAAGTGGCGTCAAAGACTCCAGGTTCGTCTTGATGCTGACTCCAGAATGTCTAGATCAGAGATTTTCTGTTATTGTACTTAATTACACAAACAATTGGTACTAATCAAACTTTGTTTGATGCAGTAGTAATGAAGAGGTTCAGGATAGAGTCAGAAATAGAAAGCACCTGGTTGACAAGGGTAGAGAACTCAGGGCAGTCACCCCCCGGTACCATTGACTTGGAGTGAGACCCCAGTAGCACGCCACTGTCCACGTAGTTTGTTATTTGCTGGGGAAAATTAATCTTCAACAATCATTGCGATATTTTTTTTTATACAAACAAAAGTATCCTTTAATTTAAATAAATAAAATGTCTCGATTTTTATGTTTTTGTGAAAAAACATTTGAAAATTCACGTGAAATAAAAAGTTTAACTTAGGTTAGCGAAGGTAGACTATCTCACAAAACTCATAATTGTATTTCTAATTGACACACACTCTTAAGTTAACTCACGGACAAAGGGGCGCCACCGGAATAAAACACGGATATCTCAGCCAGACCAAGCTCGTAAGCGATTCTCTCCCCTTTAAACCTGACGTCATAGAGCGAAGGTCCAGTCAGTGCTGACATCCGGAAGTTGAAGGTCCAGCCCATGTACTCCACCTGTACTCCAATCAAGAAATTACACTAATTACACTATTTACACTAATTACACTAATTACACTAATTACACTAATTACATCTTTATTTTAAATGATAAAGCACTATATCAATAAATTGAAGAAAAGCGTGGGCTGCTTATAGAGTTGTTGTAATGGTTAACCCCCCCCCCCCTCCCCTCCCCCTGCCTACGCTACTATCACGATATACTATTTAGTGATACACACTGTTCTTTAATCATTACGGTTATTTAAATAGCTGTGAATTGTTAGTTTAAAAAAAAAAAGTTTTTTAGTGCCCAAAATTGCATTAAAAATGCTTGAAACATCTAATTATAAACTTTTTATAAATAACTATAAAGAAAAGTGTGGGTCGCTTCCTAAACATTAGTAAAAGTATCCAATACATATATCCACTCTTTTCTTTATAGTTATTTAAATAGTAGAGTATTATAATATTTAAAGAAAATTAATTATTTTCTCCTTTTTAACACATTATTATATAAAATCGGGTTATTAAAACGTTTTTATGCATTTTTTTTCTCAGTTCATAATTTTTGTATTTACAATAGAGTTGCATGACTAAAAACCATTGCACACATAATGAACACAATAACGCACGTATAATAGTGCGGAATAGTAGGATAAGACTACCTACTAATTTCAAATTTTTAAAATTAATTTCTAAAAAATTAATTAGTCATATAATTAAGTCAGATTTACTGTCATATTAAATTGTCAACGGGTCTTGACCCACGTGCTGAATTTCAGAGAAATTGGTCGGTTAGAAATGCCAGAAATTTCGCTTTCCCGTCTTGATTTAGGATTAAGACTGAGGACAGACTGACGACTTACTGACGACAGACAGAGGACGCAAGTAAAATAAAAGCTTGTAAAAATGTTTTAATGACAAGCTTTTATATAATTCTTCACTAAAAGGAAAAAACAAGGTAATTAAAAAGTCTAGTGACAATTTTAGCGCAATGTCCTTATGTACAATAGAGTTACATGACTAAAAACCATTGCGCGCCTAGCTACTGAACGTGATGACGCGTGTGGTGTGGTTGGGGTGGCCGGAAAGAACCGCAACGGAAAAAAGCGCAACGGAAAAAAGCGCAAATCAAAAAGCGCAACGGAAATAAGCGCACACGGAAAAAAGCGCAAAGAGAAAAAAGCGCACACAGAAAAAAGCGCAAAGAGAAAAAAGCGCAAACGGAAAAAAGCGCAAAGAGAAAAAAGCGCACACAGAAAAAAGCGCAAACAGAAAAAAGCGCAAAGAGAAAAAAGCGCACACAGAAAAAAGCGCACACAGAAAAAAGCGCAAACAGAAAAAAGCGCAAACGGAAAAAAGCGCAAAGAGAAAAAAGCGCAAACGGAAAAAAGCGCAAACAGAAAAAAGCGCACACGGAAAAAAGCGCAAACGGAAAAAAGCGCAAACGGAAAAAAGCGCAAACAGAAAAAAGCGCAAACGGAAAAAAGCGCAAACAGAAAAAAGCGCACACAGAAAAAAGCGCAAACAGAAAAAAGCGCAAACGGAAAAAAGCGCAAACAGAAAAAAGCGCACACAGAAAAAAGCGCAAACGGAAAAAAGCGCAAACAGAAACAGAAAAATGCGCAACCAGAAAAAACACAAAGAAAAATGTGCAAAAGAGAAATTTAGCACAAAGACCATATGGACTAGATGACACATTTATACATGACTGTTAGGGCTGCTGTGAGAGTGTCATGTTTGATCACGTGATCTACTACCATTTAAAGCGTACCACTACCATCTGCATTCCCATCACCACGATACAGGCGATAATCACTTTACACAATGCCTATTATTTTCTTGGTCAATAATTATTCAACTACTATTCTCGTATAAACATAAAACTATCGACATTACACGAAGTATCTTTCACATTCTCCCTAGTCCGAACTACCTAGCTTGCATACTATAACAACCCGTTCCTATGGCAAAACTTCACTCTCTTTCATCCGCGTCATCAAACATGCATTCGTCATATCTCTCGTAACAACATTCATTCGCACCAAAATAACAATTTTGTATTTAATATTTTTTCACATCATGACGCACCTACCTACCTACCTACTACCCACCTACCCACCTACCTACCTACCTACCTAACTACCCACCTACCCACTTACCCACTTACCCACCTACCCGCCTACATACTTACCAAACTACCCACCAAAAAAGTATCGGCGAAGTTCGTAAGTTTCGTAAACTGTACTAGACATCTTTTTTTTTAATGAAAATTCATTGACATCATTGACATATGTTACATATATGTTACATTTTGCGACAACCTTAATTAGTGCGTTGGGCTTGTATGAAAACTCACTTCGAACTAACTCAATTACATGCTATTTATTTTAACATTACACGGTAAGCGTCACCCAACTGTTGTGATGTGATATATATATATATATATATATATATATATATATATATATATATATATATATATATATATATACCGAGGGGTCTATGGGGGGGGGGAGGGGTTATGACCCCCCCCTGCCTACGCCACTGCATATAAGTATTCGCATAGATTTAGAGTAGCGTCCCTATTGTTTACATGTTTTCATTACCCTTCAAACAAAAGTCTATTTTAGTTATATTGAGATTAAAGAATGTAAATAAATAGTATACACAATTCTGTAGAATAGGAACGATTGCCCGGTTGTATGGTGTAATTGAGTTAGTTCGAAGTGAGTTTTCATACAAGCCCAACGCACTAATTAAGGTTGTTGCAAAATGTAACATATATGTAACATATGTCAATGATGTCAATGAATTTTCATTAAAAAAAAAAGATGTCTAGTACAGTTTACGAAACTTACGAACTTCGCCGATACTTTTTTGGTGGGTAGTTTGGTAAGTATGTTGGCGGGTAGGTGGGTAGGTGGGTAAGTGGGTAGGTGGGTAGTTAGGTAGGTAGGTGGGTAGGTGGGTAGTAGGTAGGTAGGTAGGTGCGTCATGATGTGAAAAAATATTAAATACAAAATTGTTATTTTGGTGCGAATGAATGTTGTTACGAGAGATATGACGAATGCATGTTTGATCACGCGGACGAAAGAGAGTGAAGTTTTGCCATAGGAACGGGTTGTTATAGTATGCAAGCTAGGTAGTTCGGACTAGGGAGAATGTGAAAGATACTTCGTGTAATGTCGATAGTTTTATGTTTATACGAGAATAGTAGTTGAATAATTATTGACCAAGAAAATAATAGGCATTGTGTAAAGTGATTATCGCCTGTATCGTGGTGATGGGAATGCAGATGGTAGTGGTACGCTTTAAATGGTAGTAGATCACGTGATCAAACACGACACTCTCACAGCAGCCCTAACAGTCATGTATAAATGTGTCATCTAGTCCATATGGTCTTTGTGCTAAATTTCTCTTTTGTACATTTTTCTTTGTGTTTTTTCTGGTTGCGCATTTTTCTGTTTCTGTTTGCGCTTTTTTCCGTTTGCGCTTTTTTCTGTGTGCGCTTTTTTCTGTTTGCGCTTTTTTCCGTTTGCGCTTTTTTCTGTTTGCGCTTTTTTCTGTGTGCGCTTTTTTCTGTTTGCGCTTTTTTCCGTTTGCGCTTTTTTTCTGTTTGCGCTTTTTTCCGTTTGCGCTTTTTTCCGTTTGCGCTTTTTTCCGTGTGCGCTTTTTTCTGTTTGCGCTTTTTTCCGTTTGCGCTTTTTTCTCTTTGCGCTTTTTTCCGTTTGCGCTTTTTTCTGTTTGCGCTTTTTTCTGTGTGCGCTTTTTTCTCTTTGCGCTTTTTTCCGTTTGCGCTTTTTTCTGTTTGCGCTTTTTTCTGTGTGCGCTTTTTTCTCTTTGCGCTTTTTTCCGTTTGCGCTTTTTTCTCTTTGCGCTTTTTTCTGTGTGCGCTTTTTTCTCTTTGCGCTTTTTTCCGTGTGCGCTTATTTCCGTTGCGCTTTTTGATTTGCGCTTTTTTCCGTTGCGCTTTTTTCCGTTGCGGTTCTTTCTGGGAACCGTGGTTGGATAAACATGCCTACTAATTCGGTCCAAATTTTAATTAATAAAAAAAAATTTTGTGACCGAACGAAAGGATATTTTTGAAAACTTTCTTCGGCAATATTGTTCTAAATTATGGCAGGAATCGATTGGTAAATGTTTCAAGTCGCTAAGTGGTCTGGTTGCCGAGATATGGGCCAAAAACTGCATTTTTTCGAGTTTTTTTGGCTTTTCCGGGAAATCCATGAAAGAAACCCGGAATTTTTTTGACCCACTATCATCCTGGTAACTTGCTTAACATAATTGCTTTGAAACTAGTCCTCGATATTGCTTCGTTGAGGAGGAGATACGACTTAAAGCTGCGGACACACATTCATACATTCATACATTCATACATCCAGAAATGACGGGTTAATAAACGCAATTCTCCAGAATGGAAAATGCGCAAAAAAAAATTATTTATAAAAAATAATAATACACTATTATCCTAATTTATAAAAGCCCAATGTGCGCACATCTCTCTCTCTCTCTCTCTCTTTCTCTGTCCGCAAAAAATTTTCGCCGGACATCACGTCAGAATCGGCAGCGATATATCGAGAATTTTTTACGGACTTTTGTTGAAAATAATATGTTAGATGTTTTAAATGTATAACCACAATTTTATTTAAAGAAGAAAAATAAAAATTTAAGGCGTATTCGAATGTAGAGAAACAGTATTATTTATGCAACCGGAAAAGCATTAATATATGTGAAAAAGAACGCATAAAACTGTGACGTCACTATTGCTTATACATTAACTAATGACGTCATCTGCCGTGTTAAGAATGAAAAGAAATGAACTATTTCATTCAAATTTGATTTAGATCTACGTACACTATGAAATGTAAACAATACAATTTTTCCGGCCTAAACTCATAAAATTTATTTTATGTATTTGGATTCTAGATCTAGAGATTCTAGATCTAGACTAAATCTAAATCTAAATCTACGCAATAACTAGATCTAGACGTAGACGCTAAGATCTAGATTTAGACTCTAACTTCTCTAAAATCAATTCCAAAAATAAATTTCTATATTATGACTAAACTATTTCAAGACTTATTTATTTTATACAAAATCTTTGTTTGGAACTGGATAATTTGGGATAAAAAATTAATTTGAAAGAATAGGCATATTCGCGTAAGTTAAGATTTTAAAATACGTGTTTCATTCTCCGTATTTTATAAGGTGCCTAAATAGCGGAGATGTTAGTGTACATTAAACCACGCAGGTGGTGCGGGTTCGAGACACAGCAAGTCAACTTGGTTAATGTATTCTTTTTTATTATGCTCGGGCTAAATTTAAAAAAAAAATTCTTTTAGGAATCTAGATCTAGATCTAGATTGTCGGGTGTCCGATAGGGCACTTCCCGGCGCCGCAGGCGCTTCAAATTTGGCATGATCTTGCCTTGGTGCGACAGAACACGGGGGCCGGTTGGCCGAAAAGTCTACGATGTGGGGGTCAAAACTGACCTCGACTGACCGGTACCTTATATGAGCTATAAATCGAAAAAAAATGTCCACGGAGGAACCTCTTCATAACTCTTGAGGTCGTAGACCGACCTTCGGGCGAATTAATTAAGCATTCAAATTCTCAGTTTTCGAAAGCCTAAGCGAAGCTGGGCAGCATGCCTAGTTTAAATATACTGTAAAGAAAAGTACTCAATGAACGACGCTTAAAATAGTACGGTAAATAGTACTTTATCTAGAAAACTTTTGTAATTGATTAGAGATGAAATAAAGTCAAAGTTGATTTTAGATTACACTCTCATCGGGTCGCTGGTAAGTCACACAAGTGGTAATAGACAACAGCACCAATCTAGTTCAATAAAAGTTGCTAAATATTTCCCAGGAACTCAACATATCCTGCATGGAGGTTTTTTTTTTTTACACCAAACTATTCCATTATATAACCTATCGAGAGGATGGAACAACCTGAACAACCCATTGTGAAAATGAGGCTTGCAAGATTTATTTTGGTTATCTCCCCTAGCTTACCTTTCTGTGTTTGAGTGAGCAATATTTATTTTGATTATCTCCCCTAGTTTACCTTTCTGTGAGTGAGTAAGATTTATTTTGATTATCTCCCCTAGCTTACCTTTCTGTGTTTGAGTGAGCAATATTTATTTTGATTATCTCCCCTAGTTTACCTTTCTGTGAGTGAGTAAGATTTATTTTGATTATCTCCCCTAACTTACCTTTCTGTGAGTGAGTAAGATTTATTTAGATTATCTCCCCTAACTTACCTTCCTGTGTTTGAGTGAGTACCTCTTGCCGTCTGGCTCTACCTGTATTGGTGCTCTCTGTGGTTTCTTGGGTAGAGGCTGTCCTCGTCTGTGCAAAGTGCTAAATAGTTCGTTGGTCTCTTTTGGCTTGACCACTTTCACCGTGGGGATTCTGGGAAGAGAAGATATTTTTGCTGTTTAGCAATCAATGGAAATGAATGTGTTGTCGATATGTGGAAAAATGTATTGTCAGTATCTTGGGAAAGTTGAACTAAATAATCGTAACATTTCATTTCAGTATCATATGAAACAAGTAAGTAAAGATTTACGTTTTCGCCTTGTGGCCGGCAACTAGATCATCTACCGTGTTGTACATTTGGCCAGCATACCACAACATGTCTACGGTCCACTTGCTGGGATCCGAACCCTCGAGGTTACACAGGACGCCAAAGTCGAGGGGGTGGAGAACGTAGAAGGGGATATTGTACATGGCGAACAGCCACATTCGCCTGCGTACAGAGAAGACACTTCGATACATGGCAAAAACACAAGTCACACTCTTACATACTGCGAACTTTGATACACGCCACACATACAAAGTACTAGCTGCATACCCGTGCTCCGCCACGGGGAATCTTTTTTAAATGTACCAACTATAGAATGGAAAAAAAAACTAAATACAAACACAAAAGAAAACACAAACACAACACAAAAGAAAAAAAAAACACACCGCAAACACAAACACTAAAGAAAACACAAAACAAACGCAAAAACTCACAGACACAACGCAAAAGCAAACACAAACACAAAGAAACGCAAACACAAACTAAATAGAAAACGCAAACACAAACACAATACAAATGCAAAGACAAAACACAACCGAAAAATTAATAACAAACGCAAACGCAACACTTAAACACAAACGCAAAATTAAACGCAGATAACAACGCATTGAATAAATATAAAATTAAGTTCAAACATAAACCCATAGTGCTCATAGTCTAGATCGGGGCAAATCCTAACCCTAACCCTAACCCAAAGTGCTTTAATCACAAGCTGTTATGTAGTAATGCTCTAAAAAGTAGAAAATAAATTATGGACTACTATTTAAATTACTATAAAGAAAAGCGTGGGTGTCTTCCTTAACATTAGTAAAGGTATCCAATAGATACTAAAGTGACACACGCTTTTCTTTATAGTTATTTAAATAGTAGTCTATAATTTATTTTCTACTTTTTAGAGCATTATTACATAACAGCTTGTTATTAAAACGTTTTTTATGAATTTTTTTTCAGTACTTTACATGTTTTATTTACTATAGAGTTACATGACTAAAAACCAATGCGCGCCTACTGAACGTGATGGCGCAGCTATTGAAGGTGATGACGCGTGTGGTGTGGTTGGCTAGACATGTCTACTAACTCGGTCCAAATTTTAATTAATTCATAAAAAAATTAATTATACATCCAATTATGTCAAATTTAATTTCAGATTGCATTGTCTTCATGTCTTGACCCACGTGCCAAATGTGAATCGTATTGGTCAAGTATAAGTGTCCGAATTTTCACTCCGGCGTTTCGATCTAGACAGACAGACTGACGACAGAGGAAGCGAGTTAAATAAAAGCTTGTAAAATCACCTTCCCCCCCTCCGGCATTATTATTAAACCTTTTTTGAGCGATAATATTATTTAACATTGATCTTTTTAATATGTTTTAATCACCTATATTTAGCGTAGCTTATATTTAATATTTGCTTCACGTTATGCAAAAAATTAAAAACTGTGGCAATTATAAAATAAATTTAAGTCGTTACATAAACATAACCTACTCCATTGCTAATAGTAAGGCAATGCGACGCAATTTTAAAGCACTGCATAGTTTGATCTTTACTTTTATTTATCCAAAATCTTTAGATGACGAAATGACTGACGGAATGACAGACTGACTGACACACTACCACCAGCCTTATATTATAGATTGTAGTCGTGCACACAATTTTAAGTTACGCCGCCCTGCTCTATCGTAAACAAAATGTAAAAAGCGGGATTAATATCCCCTAAACTTTCTCGAATATTCATATTTAACACTATGGGGATGGCAACTCGAGAAAAAAGAATTGCGTATAAAGTAACCGGCAAACAATATATGTATAATAGTATTATATACTATAATACTATTAGTGCCTCATACATTCACAAACGATTTTTTAAGAAATCGGAAGTTGTACTTCCAGTCGACGGAAATTAATTTGACAGAAGACAGATTATTAGATCTTTTACATGCATGTGAAATTTCGTTTATCTATATGAAACAGTACTCAAGTTATAGGCTTTAGAAAAAACAAAAGTAGAATAAGTTCCACTTTTGTTTACTGGAAATCGATCAAAAGTTGATACAAAACTATACATTTGATATAATACTCATTTCTAAAATGTCATCAACCTAGCTGTAACGGTATTCAAGTCATCGTGTTAACAGACATATATATATATATATATATGTATGTATGTATGTATGTATGTATATATATATATATATATATATATATATATATATATATATATATATATATATATATATATATATATATATATATATATATATATATATATATATATATATATATATATATATATATATATATATATATATATATATGTTTGTCCGACTCAGGGAGGTGTAAAACGTCAACATATGTGAAAATCTCGATATCTATTTTTGCACGATTACAATACTTCCTCTATATTTTCTATATTTTGTATACGAGAAAGTAAAAATAGTATTATAATCGTAAAGAAAATCTAAATCGATATTTGGACAAACGTCGACGTTTTACAACATTACGGCGCCCGAAAAACTTATTTTGCAATCCTGTCCTACTGTCGGTGCGTGTGTGTTTGTGTGTTTAAATACTGTAACTTAAGCACTGTTTCAGTTATGTTGTCTGAATTTCATAAATAAGAATTATATCAAATGTGTACTTTCTGGCGATTTTCGGAAACCGCAAGTAGTATGTACTCTACTATCGGTCTCGTAAAGTACCATTAAAATAAAGTAGACGAGATTTAACCTTACAGTATTAGATATTATTTGCAGGTTCTAATTAACTTTTGAACGATTCTCTGTAATTAAAAGTGGTATAAACTATCGGAAGTTGTAATACACTTTATTTTCTGGGAGCACTATAACTTATAAACAGTTTCAGTTAACGAGACGAAATTTCTAATAAAGTTTTATGATCTTATTTTGGTTTCTCCATTTCATTTTAAGGAATTTCCGTTCCACGGAAGTAGTACTTTACGCATTTCCGATTTTTTTTTTAAAGTAATCAATGTTTCCTTAAGAAAGTACTAATTTTCCTCTCTATTATGCTGACACAGTGTAGGTTCATATGTTGCTTAATTCTAAGGGGATTCAATTCTGTTTTTAAATATGGCAGAAGATTTCGAAATTTTTTTTTGCACGATTATAATACTCCCCCCCCCCCCTACCTAGTACACGAGAAAGTAAGATTTAAGTGTTTAATAAGTGTTTTATTTTCCTTTTGATTGTATCTTTCAAAAGTAAAAAATAAACGAATCCTAAGACATGCTGTGTTTCTAAGATAAGTATCTCTAGTCAAAATCCCATGTTTGGTTCGTGTATTATGTAAGCATCTGACCTTTTATTTGGTTCGTGTATTATGTAAGCATCTGACCTTTTATTTGGTTCGTGTATTGTGTAAGCATCTGACCTTTTATTTGGTTCGTGTATTATGTAAGCATCTGACCTTTGATTGATGTTGCTCAACAATCCAGTCCCTAAAGGAATTGGATTGTAGGTCAGACAATCTGTCGGGTCATCGTCACATCCGGTTATCGAGGCGTTGTAGCTTTCACGTAAAATGTGGCCGATCTGTTGTAACATTAGAGAGTAACATTAGAACATGGCCGATCTGTTGTAACATTAGAACTAGGCAGATCTGTTGTAACATTAGAACATGGCCGATCTGTTGTAACATTAGAACTAGGCAGATCTGTTGTTACATTAGAACATGGCCGATCTGTTGTAACATTAGAACATGGCAGATCTGTTGTAACATTAGAGAGTAACATTAGAACATGGCCGATCTGTTGTAACATTAGAACTAGGCAGATCTGTTGTAACATTAGAACATGGCCGATCTGTTGTAACATTAGAACTAGGCAGATCTGTTGTAACATTAGAACATGGCCGATCTGTTGTAACATTAGAACTAGGCAGATCTGTTGTAACATTAGAACATGGCCGATCTGTTGTAACATTAGAACTAGGCAGATCTGTTGTAACATTAGATTATGGCCGATCTGTTGTAACATTAGAACATGGCCGATCTGTTGTAACATTAGAGTGTAACATTAGAACATGGCCGATCTGTTGTAACATTAGAACATGGCCGATCTGTTGTAACATTAGAACATGGCCGATCTGTTGTAACATTAGAGAGTAACATCAGAACATGGCCGATCTGTTGTAACATTAGAACATGGCCGATCTGTTGTAACATTAGAACATGGCCGATCTTTTGTAACATTAGAACATGGCCGATCTGTTGTAACATTAGAACATGGCCGATCTGTTGTAACATTAGAACATGGCCGATCTTTTGTAACATTAGAACATGGCCGATCTGTTGTAACATTAGAGTGTAACATTAGAACATGGCCGATCTGTTGTAACATTAGAACATGGCAGATCTGTTGTAACATTAGAACATGGCCGATCTGTTGTAACATTAGAGAGTAACATCAGAACATGGCCGATCTGTTGTAACATTAGAACATGGCCGATCTGTTGTAACATTAGAACATGGCCGATCTTTTGTAACATTAGAACATGGCCGATCTGTTGTAACATTAGAACATGGCCGATCTGTTGTAACATTAGAACATGGCCGATCTTTTGTAACATTAGAACATGGCCGATCTGTTGTAACATTAGAGTGTAACATTAGAACATGGCCGATCTGTTGTAACATTAGAACATGGCAGATCTGTTGTAACATTAGAACATGGCCGATCTGTTGTAACATTAGAACATGGCCGATTTTTTGTAATATTAGAACTGGTGTTGTAACATTAGAGCGTAACTTTAGAACATGGCCGAAATGTTGTAACATTAGAGTGTAACTTTAGAACATGGCCGATCTGTTGTAACATTAGAGAGTAACATTAGAACATGGCCAATCTGTTGTAACTTTAGAACTAGGCCGATCTGTTGTAACATTAGAACATGGCCGATCTGTTGTAACTTTAGAACTAGGCCGATCTGTTGTAACATTAGAACATGGCCGATCTGTTGTAACATTAGAACATGGCCGATCTGTTGTAACATTAGAACATGGCCTATCTGTTGTAACATTAGAACATGGCCGATCTGTTGTAACATTAGAACATGGCCGATCTGTTGTAACATTAGAACATGGCCGATCTGTTGTAACATTAGAACATGGCAGATATGTTGTAACATTAGAGTGTAACATTAGAACATGGCCGATCTGTTGTAACATTAGAGAGTAACATTAGAACATGGCCGATCTATTGTAACTTTAGAACTAGGCAGATCTGTTGTAACATTAGAACATGGCCGATCTGTTGTAACATTAGAACATGGCAGATCTGTTGTAACATTAGAGAGTAACATTAGAACATGGTCGATCTGTTGTAACTTTAGAACTAGGCAGATCTGTTGTAACATTAGAACATGGCCGATCTGTTGTATTATTAGAACTAGGCAGATCTGTTGTAACATTAGAGAGTAACATTAGAACATGGCCGATCTGTTGTAACTTTAGAACTAGGCAGATCTGTTGTAACATTACAACATGGCCGATCTGTTGTAACATTAGAACTAGGCAGATCTGTTGTAACATTAGAACATGGCCGATCTGTTGTAACATTAGAGAGTAACATCAGAACATGGCCGATCTGTTCTAACATTAGAACATGGCCGATCTGCTGTAACATTAGAACAATGCCGATCTGTTGTAACATTAGAACATGGCCGATCTGTTGTAACATTAGAACATGGCCGATCTGTTGTAACATTAGAGTGTAACATTAGAACATGGCCGAAATGTTGTAACATTAGAACATGGCCGATCTGTTGTAACTTTAGAACTAGGCAGATCTGTTGTAACTTTAGAACTAGGCAGATCTGTTGTAACATTAGAACATGGCAGATCTGTTGTAACACTATAACATGGCCGAAATGTTGTAACATTAGAGTGTAATTTTAGAACATGGCCGATCTGTTGTAACTTTAGAACATGGCCGATCTGTTGTAACTTTAGAACTAGGCAGATCTGTTGTAACATTAGAACATGGCCGATCTGTTGTAACATTAGAACATGGCCGATCTGTTGTAACATTAGAACATGGCCGATCTGTTGTAACATTAGAACATGGCAGATATGTTGTAACATTAGAGTGTAACATTAGAACATGGCCGATCTGTTGTAACATTAGAGAGTAACATTAGAACATGGCCGATCTATTGTAACTTTAGAACTAGGCAGATCTGTTGTAACATTAGAACATGGCCGATCTGTTGTAACATTAGAACATGGCAGATCTGTTGAAACATTAGAGAGTAACATTAGAACATGGCCGATCTGTTGTAACTTTAGAACTAGGCAGATCTGTTGTAACTTTAGAACTAGGCAGATCTGTTGTAACATTAGAACATGGCAGATCTGTTGTAACACTAGAACATGGCCGAAATGTTGTAACATTAGAGTGTAACTTTAGAACATGGCCGATCTGTTGTAACTTTAGAACATGGCCGATCTGTTGTAACTTTAGAACTAGGCAGATCTGTTGTAACATTAGAACATGGCAGATCTGTTGTAACACTAGAACATGGCCGAAATGTTGTAACATTAGAGTGTAACTTTAGAACATGGCCGATCTGTTGTAACTTTAGAACATGGCCGATCTGTTGTAACTTTAGAACTAGGCAGATCTGTTGTAACATTAGAACATGGCAGATCTGTTGTAACACTAGAACATGGCCGAAATGTTGTAACATTAGAGTGTAACTTTAGAACATGGCCGATCTGTTGTAACTTTAGAACATGGCCGATCTGTTGTAACATTAGAACATGGCCTATCTGTTGTAACATTAGAACATGGCCGATCTGTTGTAACATTAGAACATGGCCGATCTGTTGTAACATTAGAACATGGCCGATCTGTTGTAACATTAGAACATGGCAGATATGTTGTAACATTAGAGTGTAACATTAGAACATGGCCGATCTGTTGTAACATTAGAGAGTAACATTAGAACATGGCCGATCTATTGTAACTTTAGAACTAGGCAGATCTGTTGTAACATTAGAACATGGCCGATCTGTTGTAACATTAGAACATGGCAGATCTGTTGTAACATTAGAGAGTAACATTAGAACATGGTCGATCTGTTGTAACTTTAGAACTAGGCAGATCTGTTGTAACATTAGAACATGGCCGATCTGTTGTAACATTAGAACTAGGCAGATCTGTTGTAACATTAGAGAGTAACATTAGAACATGGCCGATCTGTTGTAACTTTAGAACTAGGCAGATCTGTTGTAACATTACAACATGGCCGATCTGTTTTAACATTAGAACTAGGCAGATCTGTTGTAACATTAGAACATGGCCGATCTGTTGTAACATTAGAGAGTAACATCAGAACATGGCCGATCTGTTCTAACATTAGAACATGGCCGATCTGCTGTAACATTAGAACAATGCCGATCTGTTGTAACATTAGAACATGGCCGATCTGTTGTAACATTAGAACATGGCCGATCTGTTGTAACATTAGAGTGTAACATTAGAACATGGCCGAAATGTTGTAACATTAGAACATGGCCGATCTGTTGTAACTTTAGAACTAGGCAGATCTGTTGTAACTTTAGAACTAGGCAGATCTGTTGTAACATTAGAACATGGCAGATCTGTTGTAACACTAGAACATGGCCGAAATGTTGTAACATTAGAGTGTAACTTTAGAACATGGCCGATCTGTTGTAACTTTAGAACATGGCCGATCTGTTGTAACTTTAGAACTAGGCAGATCTGTTGTAACATTAGAACATGGCCGATCTGTTGTAACATTAGAACATGGCCGATCTGTTGTAACATTAGAACATGGCCGATCTGTTGTAACATTAGAACATGGCAGATATGTTGTAACATTAGAGTGTAACATTAGAACATGGCCGATCTGTTGTAACATTAGAGAGTAACATTAGAACATGGCCGATCTATTGTAACTTTAGAACTAGGCAGATCTGTTGTAACATTAGAACATGGCCGATCTGTTGTAACATTAGAACATGGCAGATCTGTTGTAACATTAGAGAGTAACATTAGAACATGGCCGATCTGTTGTAACTTTAGAACTAGGCAGATCTGTTGTAACTTTAGAACTAGGCAGATCTGTTGTAACATTAGAACATGGCAGATCTGTTGTAACACTAGAACATGGCCGAAATGTTGTAACATTAGAGTGTAACTTTAGAACATGGCCGATCTGTTGTAACTTTAGAACATGGCCGATCTGTTGTAACTTTAGAACTAGGCAGATCTGTTGTAACATTAGAACATGGCAGATCTGTTGTAACACTAGAACATGGCCGAAATGTTGTAACATTAGAGTGTAACTTTAGAACATGGCCGATCTGTTGTAACTTTAGAACATGGCCGATCTGTTGTAACTTTAGAACTAGGCAGATCTGTTGAAACTTTAGAACTAGGCAGATCTGTTGTAACATTAGAACATGGCAGATCTGTTGTAACACTAGAACATGGCCGAAATGTTGTAACATTAGAGTGTAACTTTAGAACATGGCCGATCTGTTGTAACTTTAGAACATGGCCGATCTGTTGTAACTTTAGAACTAGGCAGATCTGTTGTAACATTAGAACATGGCAGATCTGTTGTAACACTAGAACATGGCCGAAATGTTGTAACATTAGAGTGTAACTTTAGAACATGGCCGATCTGTTGTAACTTTAGAACATGGCCGATCTGTTGTAACTTTAGAACTAGGCAGATCTGTTGTAACTTTAGAACTAGGCAGATCTGTTGTAACATTAGAACATGGCAGATCTGTTGTAACACTAGAACATGGCCGAAATGTTGTAACATTAGAGTGTAACTTTAGAACATGGCCGATCTGTTGTAACTTTAGAACATGGCCGATCTGTTGTAACTTTAGAACTAGGCAGATCTGTTGTAACTTTAGAACTAGGCAGATCTGTTGTAACATTAGAACATGGCAGATCTGTTGTAACATTAGAGCAGAGGCGTAGCGACCCTTCCCGGCGCCCGGGGGACATACTTCCAATTTGGCGCCCCCTCGAGAGCAAATTTTCGATTTGCACCCCCCCCCCCCTCGAACTTTTCATTTGCACCCCCCTCAAACTTTCGATTTGCATACCCCCCTGATACTTTTCAAATGCACCCCCCCCCCCCCTCAAACTTTCAATTTGGCGCCCCCCCTAAGGTCGGCGCCCGGGGACAATTGTCCCCCCCCCCGCCCCCCCTCGCTACGCTACTGCATTAGAGTGTAACATTAGAACATGGCCGATCTGTTGTAACATTAGAGAGTAACTTTAGAACATGACCGATATGTTGTAACATTAGAACATGGCCGATATGTTGTAACATTAGAACATGGCCGATATGTTGTAACATTAGAGAGTAACATTAGAACATGGCCGATCTGTTAAAGCAGTGAAGCGAATGAAAAGTGAATGAGTTGTTATAGCAACCATTTTTCTACCATTAGCCTCCAGAATCCTAGTGGTGTATCCTGACTCATAAATGTATATCTAGAGTTCATTAGCAAAGTACCAGGACTAAGGTTACCTTAGTTTCTAGAGGTTCCCAAATGTAGTCGTAGATTGCATCAAACTCCATCTGATTAAACGGTCTGTTGAGTGGAGAAAACGGCTCTCTAATTAATCTTGTGCCAAAGATCAATACATTTAGTCAAATCATCAACCATTTGTCGCTATAAATAAATAGTCTCAAATCTTTAAAATACGTCTTTAAAGATCAAGAAATTATGTCAAAACATTTAAACAATAGGTTTTTAGGGGCACTTCCCACCTCCCCCCCACTTTTTCTTTCCAGTTACACCAGCCATTGCAACAAAAAAATTAATTGAAAGGTAAACATCCCCACCCACTTTTCATCTCCGCAATTAATTAATTATTAAACACCGCAAAATGTCCACCCAGCCCAACCAGCCATTAAAAATGTCAGCACCTGAAAGAGAACTCGACTGGGTTCCTTCTGTTTCTAATCTTAAGCAGGTCGCAACTTTTGACGCTAGGCAGAGGTCCACAGACATATTCTTCTATCACAGGGGGGTCAAGGTCACCACGGTTCATCATCACACGTGCATACCTGGCAGGTTGCTTACCTGGAGCAAGATTTATTTATGTACTCGCATATTATGGAAATGAATATTTAGATATTTGTATCCCTTGTATTACATCTATATTTTAAGACATAACGGTAACTGCCCAGGTGTCAGGGACTTAGAGGGGCTCTCTCGTGAGCCTCGGTTACACTACCGCATGGACGCGGCGCACGGACCCTGGCTGATTAAAACTAACTAAATTTTCCCCCGTACGAACCTTCTCTGGAGTATTCTCATCAACTCCTCAAAATTGTTATGGCAATAGGATGAACGGTGTCGAACCGCATTTCAACTTTTATTTTTACATACCTTACACAATCGCACCCTCCCGGGGCATATATCTATATCTATATCTATATCTATATCTATATCTATATCTTTATCTATATCTATATCTATATCTATATCTATATCTATATCTATATCTATATCTATATCTATATCTATATCTATATCTATATCTATATCTATATCTATATCTATATCTATATCTATATCTATATCTATATCTATATCTATATCTATATCTATATCTATATCTATATCTATATCTATATCTATATCTATATCTATATCTATATCTATATCTATATCTATATCTATATCTATATCTATATCTATATCTATATCTATATCTATATCTATATCTATATCTATATCTATATCTATATCTATATCTATATCTATATCTATATCTATATCTATATCTATATCTATATCTATATCTATATCTATATCTATATCTATATCTATATCTATATCTATATCTATATCTATATCTATATCTATATCTATATCTATATCTATATCTATATCTATATCTATATCTATATCTATATCTATATCTATATCTATATCTATATCTATATCTATATCTATATCTATATCTATATCTATATCTATATCTATATCTATATCTATATCTATATCTATATCTATATCTATATCTATATCTATATCTATATCTATATCTATATCTATATCTATATCTATATCTATATCTATATCTATATCTATATCTATATCTATATCTATATCTATATCTATATCTATATCTATATATCTATATCTATATCTATATCTATATCTATATCTATATCTATATCTATATCTATATCTATATCTATATCTATATCTATATCTATATCTATATCTATATCTATATCTATATCTATATCTATATCTATATCTATATCTATATCTATATCTATATCTATATCTATATCTATATCTATATCTATATCTATATCTATATCTATATCTATATCTATATCTATATCTATATCTATATCTATATCTATATCTATATCTATATCTATATCTATATCTATATCTATATCTATATCTATATCTATATCTATATCTATATCTATATCTATATCTATATCTATATCTATATCTATATCTATATCTATATCTATATCTATATCTATATCTATATCTATATCTATATCTATATCTATATCTATATCTATATCTATATCTATATCTATATCTATATCTATATCTATATCTATATCTATATCTATATCTATATCTATATCTATATCTATATCTATATCTATATCTATATCTATATCTATACCTATACCTATACCTATACCTATACCTATACCTATACCTATACCTATACCTATACCTATACCTATACCTATACCTATACCTATACCTATACCTATACCTATACCTATACCTATACCTATACCTATACCTATACCTATACCTATACCTATACCTATACCTATACCTATATCTATATCTATATCTATATCTATATCTATATCTATATCTATATCTATATCTATATCTATATCTATATCTATATCTATATCTATATCTATATCTATATCTATATCTATATCTATATCTATATCTATATCTATATCTATATCTATATCTATATCTATATCTATATCTATATCTATATCTATATCTATATCTATATCTATATCTATATCTATATCTATATCTATATCTATATCTATATCTATCTATCTATATATATATATATATATATATATATATATATATATATATATATATATATATGTTTGTAATTGCATTTCCTTTTATAAATCATTCGTATCCATTCAGAATCCTAAATTGTGTGTATTACTTAACACATTTCTAGAACGACACATGAAATTACCCATAGAATCCAGGAATTTGAGAACCTCTGATTTCTTAGGCAGGTACAGATCAGCCATGTAGATAAAGCTGGAGCTGACGGTGGCTGTGCTCGTGTTGGCGGCTCGGATATTAGGATCTTTCTCCAGGAACTTACGGAGCTGTAAACATATGGGTATCAATTGGGATATTAGGATCTTTCTCCAGGAACTTACGGAGCTGTAAACATATGGGTATCAATTGGGATATTAGGATCTTTCTCCAGGAACTTACGGAGCTGTAAACATATGGGTATCAATTGGGATATTAGGATCTTTCTCCAGGAACTTACGGAGCTGTAAACATATGGGTATCAATTGGGATATTAGGATCTTTCTCCAGGAACTTACGGAGCTGTAAACATATGGGTATCAATTGGGATATTAGGATCTTTCTCCAGGAACTTACGGAGCTGTAAACATATGGGTATCAATTGGGATATTAGGATCTTTCTCCAGGAACTTACGGAGCTGTAAACATATGGGTATCAATTGGGATATTAGGATCTTTCTCCAAGAACTTACGGAGCTGTAAACATATGGGTATCAATTGGGATATTAGGATCTTTCTCCAGGAACTTACGGAGCTGTAAACATATGGGTATTAATTTGGATATTAGGATCTTTCTCCAGGAACTTACGGAGCTGTAAACATATGGGTATCAATTGGGATATTAGGATCTTTCTCCAGGAACTTACGGAGCTGTAAACATATGGGTATCAATTGGGATATTAGGATCTTTCTCCAGGAACTTACGGAGCTGTAAACATATGGGTATCAATTGGGATATTAGGATCTTTCTCCAGGAACTTACGGAGCTGTAAACATATGGGTATCAATTGGGATATTAGGATCTTTCTCCAGGAACTTACGGAGCTGTAAACATATGGGTATCAATTGGGATATTAGGATCTTTCTCCAGGAACTTACGGAGCTGTAAACATATGGGTATCAATTGGGATATTAGGATCTTTCTCCAGGAACTTACGGAGCTGTAAACATATGGGTATCAATTGGGATATTAGGATCTTTCTCCAGGAACTTACGGAGCTGTAAACATATGGGTATCAATTGGGATATTAGGATCTTTCTCCAGGAACTTACGGAGCTGTAAACATATGGGTATCAATTGGGATATTAGGATCTTTCTCCAGGAACTTACGGAGCTGTAAACATATGGGTATCAATTGGGATATTAGGATCTTTCTCCAGGAACTTACGGAGCTGTAAACATATGGGTATCAATTGGGATATTAGGATCTTTCTCCAGGAACTTACGGAGCTGTAAACATATGGGTATCAATTGGGATATTAGGATCTTTTTCCAGGAACTTACGGAGCTGTAAACATATGGGTATCAATTGGGATATTAGGATCTTTCTCCAGGAACTTACGGAGCTGTAAACATATGGGTATCAATTGGGATATTAGGATCTTTCTCAAGGAACTTACGGAGCTGTAAACATATGGGTATTAATTGGGATATTAGGATCTTTTTCCAGAAACTTACGGAGCTGTAAACATATGGGTATCAATTGGGATATTAGGATCTTTCTCCAAGAACTTACGGAGCTGTAAACATATGGGTATCAATTGGGATATTAGGATCTTTCTCCAGGAACTTACGGAGCTGTAAACATATGGGTATCAATTGGGATATTAGGATCTTTCTCCAGGAACTTACGGAGCTGTAAACATATGGGTATCAATTGGGATATTAGGATCTTTCTCCAGGAACTTACGGAGCTGTAAACATATAGATATCAATTGGGATATTAGGATCTTTTTCCAGGAACTTACGGAGCTGTAAACATATGGGTATCAATTGGGATATTAGGATCTTTCTCCAGGAACTTACGGAGCTGTAAACATATGGGTATCAATTGGGATATTAGGATCTTTCTCCAGGAACTTACGGAGCTGTAAACATATGGGTATCAATTGGGATATTAGGATCTTTCTCCAGGAACTTACGGAGCTGTAAACATATGGGTATCAATTGGGATATTAGGATCTTTCTCCAGGAACTTACGGAGCTGTAAACATATGGGTATCAATTGGGATATTAGGATCTTTCTCCAGGAACTTACGGAGCTGTAAACATATGGGTATCAATTGGGATATTAGGATCTTTCTCCAGGAACTTACGGAGCTGTAAACATATGGGTATCAATTGGGATATTAGGATCTTTCTTCAGGAACTTACGGAGCTGTAAGCATATGGGTATCAATTGGGATATTAGGATCTTTCTCTAGGAAATTACGGAGCTGTAAACATATGGGTATCAATTGGGATATTAGGATCTTTCTCCAGGAACTTACGGAGCTGTAAACATATGGGTATCAATTGGGATATTAGGATCTTTCTCCAGGAACTTACGGAGCTGTAAACATATGGGTATCAATTGGGATATTAGGATCTTTCTCCAGGAACTTACGGAGCTGTAAACATATGGGTATCAATTGGGATATTAGGATCTTTCTCCAGGAATTTACGGAGCTGTAAAAAATAAGGTTGAAAGTCACAAGGACTGGGATTTGTAACGTTCCGGGTTTCTTACCTCAGTCATCTCAGCTTTGGTCAAGTCATTGCTTACCTCAATCATCTCAGCTTTGGTCAAGTCATTGCTTACCTCAGTCATCTCAGCTTTGGTCAAGTCATTGCTTACCTCAGTCATCTCAGCTTTGGTCAAGTCATTGCTTACCTCAGTCATCTCAGCTTTGGTCAAGTCATTGCTTACCTCAGTCATCTCAGCTTTGGTCAAGTCATTGCTTACCTCAGTCATCTCAGCTTTGGTCAAGTCATTGCTTACTTGAGTCATCTAAGCTTTGGTCAAGTCATTGCTTACCTCAGTCATCTCAGCTTTGGTCAAGTCATTGCTTACCTCAGTCATCTCAGCTTTGGTCAAGTCATTGCTTACCTCAGTCATCTCAGCTTTGGTCAAGTCATTGCTTACCTCAGTCATCTCAGCTTTGGTCAAGTCATTGCTTACCTCAGTCATCTCAGCTTTGGTCAAGTCATTGCTTACCTCAGTCATCTCAGCTTTGGTCAAGCCATTGCTTACCTCAGTCATCTCAGCTTTGGTCAAGTCATTGCTTACCTCAGTCATCTCAGCTTTGGTCAAGTCATGAAACGGGCCAGGCTTTTGCGGCTCTTGCAGGTCGATGATGTTTCCATTTGTGTTGGCGCCTCCACATTCTGATGGTGTCTTTGGACAGCCACTGGCGGCCTGGGTCACAGAGCAACCAATCAGGGCTAGGAACACACACCACGTCGACACCATTTTGACAGTTCTGAAGATAAAACAATGGAACGATTAGTGGAAATAAATCAGTGAAAAAGCGTCGAGCTCATATATTTCTAAACCTTGAATTACTGCGTGTGTAGCCTTACAGAGAAACTCACCAGGTAGGGTATAGCATTCATTGGGCACGTAGTTGGTATTTATAATGTTTGTCAAAATCTGATAAGTTTAGTCATTAGTTTGGCAATCATCACCGCAGTTAAGATTTTAGTGATTTAAACAACCCAAAGCTGTTATTATGTAAAACATGTGGTCATTTGCATTTAAAATGATATTTCTTGTTTTAGTCAAGATTGGTTTATTCTTTTACAGAGACACTAAAACACATGAGCAAAGACAGCCACACACATACACAGACACTCACAGATATATATAGACACCATATATATATATATATATATATATATATATATATATATATATATATATATATATATATATATATATATATATATATATATATATATATATATAAAGGCACTCACTACTACCAGACATAAATACACACACACACACACATATTTACAAACTCACACACTTAGACACATAGCCATTACTTGGCATATATATTATAATTATTATTCCTTAAAGGATCCAACATTTTGTAAAAAAAACTGTTTGTTTATAAAGTATAGTTGTGTACCATATGTTTTCATATTAACGTTGATAGTCTTCATGTTTACAATTGAACCTAAGGCTGGGCAGATGAAGATGAGTTCACCTGTCTCTTTCACACTAACCTATGAACGTATAGTTAGTGTAGCTCTTTCACATCAACCTATAAACGTATAGTTAGTGTAGCACTATCACACTAACCTATGAACGTATAGTTAGTGTAGCACTATCATACTAACCTATGAAAGTATAGTTAGTGTAGCACTATCACACTAACCTATGAACGTATAGTTAGTGGAGCACTATCATACTAACCTATGAAAGTATAGTTAGTGTAGCACTATCACACTAACCTATGAACGTATAGTTAGTGTAGCACTATCACACCAACCTACGAACCTATATTTAACGTAGCACCTGCCATCTTTAATTTCCCTAACACGATTCAGGCACCCAGCGCTAATACAGTGAACTGAAATTAACATATTCGGTTTAGTATTCGCGCTATACCGTCTCAAATAATTATTGTAGAAGATAAAAACACAATCAATCGTTGAATCGTTAATCGTAGAAGATGAAAACACAATCAATCGTTGAATAGTTAATCGCAGAAGATAAAAACACAATCAATCGTTAAATCGTTAATCGTAGAAGATGAAAACACAATCAATCGTTGAATCGTTAATCATAGAAGATAAAAACACAATCAATCGTTAAATCGTTAATCGTAGAAGATGAAAACACAATCAATCGTTAAATCGTTAATCGTAGAAGATGAAAACACAATCAATCATTGAATCGTTAATCGTAGAAGATAAAAACACAATCAATCGTTAAATCGTTAATCGTAGAAGATGAAAACACAATCAATCGTTGAATCGTTAATCGTAGAAGATAAAAACACAATCAATCGTTAAATCGTTAATCGTAGAAGATGAAAGCATGAAATAAATAAGATGCATGTTGACATTCTTGTTACAGGAGACATATTTGTTGACATCAATTTCATGTCGTCAATGTGTTATAATCAATGTGATATTTAATTAATGCAAGTAAATTCGGTACTAATTGTCTAACTTATATGGGTATTTGATTTATGCTTGATGTTCCTAAGCAACGTCCAAAAGCTCAATTCAATTATTACATAGTTTTTTTTAAAACCCCATGGCAAATGCTCTACAATCCCAAGGTATATATTGTAACATCCAAGGTATATATTGTAACATCCAAGGTATATATTGTAACATCCAAGGTATATATTGTAACATCCAAGGTATATATTGTAACATCCAAGGTATATATTGTAACATCCAAGGTATATATTGTAACATCCAAGGTATATATTGTAACATCCAAGGTATATGTTGTAACATCCAAGGTATATATTGTAACATCCAAGGTATATGTTGTAACATCCAAGGTATATATTGTAACATCCAAGGTATATATTGTAACATCCAAGGTATATATTGTAACATCCAAGGTATATATTGTAACATCCAAGGTATATGTTGTAAAATCCATGGTACATGTTGTAACGTCGCAAAGGTATATGTTGTAACGTCGCAAGGTATATGTTGTAATAAGCAAAGTATTTGTCCCCCCCCCCCCCCCGAAAAAAACATCCCGGACAATATACCCCGACAAAACGACTTAGTCAAGATAATTGCAAGAAATGTTTGCCGTTTAAATTTGTCATATTGAACTAAACACATAAATTAAAATTACTAATACAGTATGCGAAGATTAAAGAATGTTTCGATAGACAGCGTAGTGTGTTTGACAAACATGAGACAATCCTACCACGTCAGGTGGACGAAACTAGATCAAATGGAATGAAATAACAAACAAGACACACCTTTGTATCAAGGTGGCCGCTCGCTTTGATTGCAGAGACATGCCTTAAAGGAAAGACCCCCCTACATGGACATTACAAATGCTTATTTAAACGACAGCGGTCATCGTGGAGCTTAAGATCTCTTAATGTGCATGCAAACAAAGAGTATTTGTGGTGATTACTAAGCTATGGCCTCTTTGTTACCTCGCAGAAACGTTTTAGGACATTCGTTTCTGGTGGATTTCTGTTTGTAAAAGCCATAAGTAGAGCAGCAGGCAAAGAAATTTGGAAATGTGAAGTTAGAACATGTCGAGCAAGAGTTCACACAATACATGATCACATAATATTGGAGAGGTGTTATCATAAAAAAAAAAACGTAAACGTAATGTTTGTATTGATAAGGCAATAAAAGCAATAGTTGTACGTTACAAACCTTAATACCCATTCACATGCGTGTTTCTAACATTAATGGTGTTTAGCTACCTTTACTTTATTTGTTTTATACATTATCATTTATTATAACTTTCAGGCTAAGGAGTAATTTTGTTTTAATTTATACTTTTTCAAATCAAATACTATTACAACATTAACTTTAACGAATCTTTTGATGCTTTGTTAAGTTTAACAAATTCATTTTATTCACAATTATTATGCGTAAAAAAAAATTTAAAAAAAAAAACCATATTTACAGTCCTGAGATCATTTGTCCTGTCACCATATATATATACGCATTCGCCCCCTCCATTTTTCTCCAGGCTTGCGCAACAGACCATATCGCTACCACCCTCACCTAACTGATGAGGTGTGGTTCAAGCCGAATGTTTACAATCGTAGAGCCGGGTCGAATTAGCGAATGATATTAGGGGCAGATAATTTAGTTTTTAAACGATTTGAAACTGAGGGGAGGTAACAAGTTCTGCTTGATCTTTTCATTGTCGTCTGTAAACTGTCGTCATTGACGGCTGCTTTTACGGGACCGGGTGCGGGGGGTGGGGGGAGGGGGGGGGGGAGGGGGGGGCGAGAAAGCCTGGGTGAGGATAATCGTCCTTCACGAGCTACTGATTGTTTTAAAGCAAAATATTTCCAGTCGCAGCATTGGTAGTGTCGAATTGACAAATTATGTTTTACTGAAAAGTAGAAAATAAAACAACTAAACAGCGGCGCATGCTACGCCGCGGGTCGGCTTGTACTAGATAAAATAATATAAAAAATAAGGCCTGCCGAACAAGAAATTCATACGTTGTACTATGTTAGCTAACTCTAAAGAGTATTGATGAACGGGGGCCACTGGCAGTGTCATATTCAATGAGGACGGGAGCCTATTGGTCCATTGGTCGCTGCCTTTTGACGGGCTCGATTTGACGTGCTCCAATGTAGGGGTCGTATTTGACGGGGCTCCAATGTAGGGGTCGTATTTGACGGGGCTCAAATGTAGGGGTCGTATTTAACGGGGCTCCAATGTAGGGGTCGTATTTGACGGGGCTCAAATGTAGGGGTCGTATTTGACGGGGCTCAAATGTAGGGGTCGTATTTGACGGGGCTCCAATGTAGGGGTCGTATTTGACGGGGCTCAAATGTAGGGGTCGTATTTTGTCAAAGGCCGTTTCGACGTCGCACGCGTTCTAACAGTTGGTTATAAAAATGAGCCCACATCATTTGCTTACCCCAAGTCCCTACGTTCTCTAGCTAGCTGATCTTTTTGTAAAACCATTTCTGTAATATGTCATTCAGTACTATGTTTTTCTAAACCAACTTCTGTAATATGTTTTTGTAAAGCGTTTGTGAAAAGTTTTTTCTAATGCAAGGCCCTCATCCCGCATGTTAGTTGACTGCGGCCTGTTACAAAGTGATTCCAATCTTCCCGCCACCATAAATATTCCAACTCGCTTGTAAATTATATTCTCTGTTGAGGTCGTTTTAACGCGGGTGTTCGATGCTGTATTTCCCTACATCTAAAATGACGACTTTACACAAGTAAACACCACTTTAACACACAAGTAAACACCACTTTAACACACAAGTAAACACCACTTTAACACACAAGTAAACACATCTTTAACATACAAATAAACACCACTTTAACACACAAGTAAACACCACTTTAACACACAAGCAAACACAAAATGTGTTTATATATATATATATATATATATATATATATATATATATATATATATATATATATATATATATATATATAGGCCTTTATGAACATACTAGCCGTTGGTACCCGTTATAAGTGAATTATCGGTCTATATATTTTAATGGTATACATTTTTAGAAGGATATTTTATAAAACAGTTATTGGTCAAAACGCAATGTGCTTTACTGCAGGTTTAACGATATTAGTGACAATGCAAAGAAATAACTAAATTTCTAAAAGTCCGACACATTTAAATAACATAGGCTACTAATACCTATTAGAAAAAAGAAAACCAAATTATATACATAATTAGTCAACACAACACCATATTAAATGCATACATTGCTTAAAAGACTTAAATGGCTCCGTGAAAAACCCGGCTTTTCAATGGTATTTATATTGTTTTTTTAAGTAATTTGCATTAGTTTTGGCCGAGGAAATTGTATAAATTTCATGCATTACGTCTCGATAAGTAAATCTTAGATCTAAATCAAATTTTAATGAAATAGTTCATTTCTTCGTATTCTAAAATTGGAAGGTGACGCCATTGGTTTTGTGTACTTTCCGTACTTCAAACATATACCATGTGACATCATCGATTACGGCGTTCTTGTCCCAACTATAAACACTTTTCCGGTTGCATAATCAAAACTGTTTTTCTATATTCGAATAAGCCTTTATTTTTTATTTTCCTTCTTTAAATAAAATTTTGTTTGAACATTTAAAACATCTACCATATTTTTTTCAACAAAAGTCCGTATCGATTACTCCATATATCGCTGAAGATTCTGATGTGATATCCTGCGAAAATATTTTGTGGACAGAGAGAGAAGTGCGCACTTGGTCTTTTATATATTAGGATATATTTATATATATATATATATATATATATATATATATATATATATATATATATATATATATATATATATATATATATATATTTGTATATATATATATATATATATATATATATATATATATATATATATATATATATATATGTATATATATATATATTTATATATATATATATATATATATATATATATATATATATATATATATATATATAGTTACGACCATTTCTCTAATCCTTTCGAACTAGTCAGGGAATCGTAAACAAAAACAAGAAAATAAGACTAATGAACACCTTTCGATAATAGCTAAACTTTAATTCTCACAACAGAGGTACAACATTTAAGAATAATCACCACCTAGATACAATATATGAAAATCCTAACACCTACTCTAACCTACACTATCTACAACTACACGTCCTCCTTGTTGAGCTGCTCTGTCCTGACTGTCCTAACCCTCCATCGATGCCATCGTCCGTAATTACAATCTAATTGCAACACGTACACCGCTAATCGTCTTCGTCAAGAACTGTTTAGTCTGTGTCACTTCTATTGTCAACCATATCCCTTCAATCTATGCCCCCACAGTCGTAACAATAAATACATATATATATATATATATATATATATATATATATATATATATATATATATATATATATATATATATATATATATATTTAAAAACAAATTTGGGGATGTCCGTCTGTCAAACTGTGCCTCACACCTGTTAAATCGGGAACGTTTGAGTGATAATTTTCTTGCAAAAAAAGCGACATTTAACCTGAACCTAATCCTAACCCTAACCCTAATCCTAATCCTAATAGTCGCGTTTTAAGTAATTGAAATTTGACCGCGGCTTTATTAATCTTTACATGTTTTAAAGTGCATAAAGTAGATCGACCATTTGCAGCTGCTTCACAAACTTGCTCTTTGTTATCAGAAGTTTGTTATCAGAAGTTTGTTATCAGAACTTTGTTATCAGAACTTTGTTATCAGAACTTTGTTATCAGAAGTTTGTTATCAGAACTTTGTTATCAGAACTTTGTTATCAGATTCTCAGAATTAAGGGTTGAAACTACTAACCCATTGGACCGCTCAATTTGAACCATTAAAGGTACATCTGCATATGTGCTTCCCATTTTAAAAAATGGTGGAAAAATCTTGTTATCTTTGACAAAGGCGGCCATCTTGAAAATATAAGCCCTTTCGTAAGATTTTCACCATTCATAAAATATTATATTTTAAGCCCAATATACAATGAATTCATAATCTTCTTCCATAATTTGGGATACTTAGTTAAAAATGTTAAGTGCATATCTTCAAACTCATTTATTATGAATTTTGAAAATTTGGGTCCGTTAAAAAACACTAAATTTTGGGTAATTTATGGTCATTAAAACTAGTGGTTTTAACGGGCCCACATTTTGAAAATTCATAATAAATTAGTTTGAAGATATTCACTAACAATTTTTAGCTTGGATTTTAAAACAGCACACATTTTTAGTTAGCTTTTCGAGAAAGGTGGTCCTTTTTAGTTTGTCGTAGACGAAGTATGGAGAAAGCATTGTAATCGTGCAAAAAATCAAAATCGAGATTTTCCCAAATCTATACGTTGTACACCTCCCTCAGTCAGAAAAACATAGTTTTGCAATTTTGTCCGTGTGTCTGTTTGTGTCTGTGTGGATTATTGTCTGTGTGTCTGTGAACACGATAATTTGAGTACCGTTACAGCTAGGTTGATGAAATTTCATAAATAATTATTATATTTAAACTTTGAAGTTCTGTATTATTTTTTTCAGCGATTTCCGGTAAACGGAAGTAGAACTTATTCTACTTTTGGTTTTTCAAAAGCCTATAACTTGAGAACTCGCGAGCCGCATGCGGCTCTTTAGATGTCAAGATGCGGCTCTCCGGCTCTATACACAAATATTAATAGTTATATAATTTCATTTTCAAAACTCATAAAAAAATATTATTCGGTAAAAATGAAACAACTTTAAAAACTTAAACAGGATAAAAACACTCATCGGAGAACAGATAAATTAGGTGGGGCAGAAAAGTATACGGACAGCTGACAGCCGCTTGGCAACAAGTCAGTGCTTGCCGTCGTCCAAGTGCCGACTTTTTCGAATATTGTTGAATGGGGAACGTTATTTTATTCTGAATGCATTCATTCGTATGCATTCATTTGACAAGAGTGACGTATTTTAGTCATTAGTTTTCTACAGTTGAGCCTGGTACTGGACTCTTGGTACAGGTAGGGTGGAAGATAAACCATGTGCGAAACGATAGACAGAAGCGACCGATACACGGTAATCAAACCGATACACGGTAATCAAACCGATACAGGGTAATCAAACCGATACACGGTAATCAAACCGATACACGGTAATCAAACCGATACACGGTAATCAAACAAACCGATACACGGTAATCAAACAAACCGATACACGGTAATCAAACCGATACACGGTAATCAAACCGATACACGGTAATCAAACAAACCGATACACGGTAATCAAACCGATACACGGTAATCAAACCGATACACGGTAATCGAACCGATACACGGTAATCAAACAAACCGATACACGGTAATCAAACCGATACACGGTAATCAAACCGATACACGGTAATCAAACAAACCGATACACGGTAATCAAACCGATACACGGTAATCAAACCGATACACGGTAATCAAACAAACCGATACACGGTAATCAAACCGATACACGGTAATCAAACCGATACACGGTAATCAAACAAACCGATACACGATAATCAAACCGATACACGGTAATCAAACAAACCGATACACGGTAATCAAACCGATACACGGTAATCAAACCGATACACGGTAATCAAACCGATACACGGTAATCAAACAAACCGATACACAGTAATCAAACCGATACACGGTAATCAAACCGATACACGGTAATCAAACAAACCGATACACGGTAATCAAACAAACCGATACACGGTAATCAAACCGATACACGGTAATCAAACAAACCGATACACGGTAATCAAACAAACCGATACACGGTAATCAAACCGATACACGGTAATCAAACAAACCGATACACGGTAATCAAACCGATACACGGTAATCAAACCGATACACGGTAATCAAACAAACCGATACACGGTAATCAAACAGATACACGGTAATCAAACCCATACACGGTAATCAAACCGATACACGGTAATCAAACCGATACACGGTAATCAAACCGATACACGGTAATCAAACCGATACACGGTAATCAAACAAACCGATACACGGTAATCAAACCGATACACGGTAATCAAACAAACCGATACACGGTAATCAAACAAACCGATACACGGTAATCAAACCGATACACGGTAATCAAACCGATACACGGTAATCAAACCGATACACGGTAATCAAACAAACCGATACACAGTAATCAAACCGATACACGGTAATCAAACCGATACACGGTAATCAAACAAACCGATACACGGTAATCAAACAAACCGATACACGGTAATCAAACCGATACACGGTAATCAAACAAACCGATACACGGTAATCAAACAAACCGATACACGGTAATCAAACCGATACACGGTAATCAAACAAACCGATACACGGTAATCAAACCGATACACGGTAATCAAACCGATACACGGTAATCAAACAAACCGATACACGGTAATCAAACAGATACACGG